TGTTCTTAGCCATTCAGCCTGATCCTCAAGGACTGCCTGAACCCTCTGCAAGGCTCTATTGGTGCGTCTTGCAGCTCTCTGTTGCGGCCTCTTCATGTATCCATTTCGACCTGACGAGGACTCCCCAGGTACTTGTATACTGTCCCTCCATATGTCGGCAATATGGGTTGTCCTTCTGGTTAGTTTCAAATCCTCCCTCAGTTTCCTGACTACCTACGCCTCTACTTCTGTTATCCATCCGACTTACACTTTCGTCCAGTTCCGGAACGACATTTCCCAGGAGTGCATATTGCATGGTATGCCTGTAGTGCAGTCGGATCAGTGAATCGTTTTATGTTCTCGTCACTCTTGCATGCACTTATACATCGCTTGGCATAGGTTGCTATCTAACTTGTACATGTCGCGGAGGTCGGAGGCGACATCACCATGCTCGTTCACTGTAGTCGGCTCTCCATTTGCAGTTTCTGATTTAATGATCTTCACGAGGGGCACTGGGGGACTGGTGAGTGTCAGCACCACAGTCCAGGATGAGACAACGAACATCCAAGAATACATTGGGAAGATGGCCCCAACTGACCGAGTGCTCAGTGAATACCTCAGGCAGCAGAAACCCAAGAAAGAGGAGGGAGACAAGGAACCATCATGGAAGGACAGGCCCCTGCACGGTATGTACCACCGGCAGATAGAGGAGGTGGCTGATATCCAGAAATCCTACCAGTGGCTGGACAAAGCTGGACTGAAAGACAGCACAGAGGCACTAATCATGGCAGCACAAGAACAAGCTCTGAGCACAGATCCATAGAGGCTGGGGTCTATCACACCAGGCAAGACCCCAGGTGCAGGCTGTGTAAAGATGCCCCTGAGACAATCCAGCACATAACAGCAGGGTGCAAGATGCTAGCAGGCAAGGCATACATGGAACGCCATAACCAAGTGGCCGGCATAGTGTACAGGAACATCTGTGCCGAGTATAACCTGGAAGTCCCGAGGTCAAAATGGGAGATGCCCCCAAGGGTGGTGGAGAATGACCGAGCTAAGATCCTGTGGGACTTCCAGATACAGACGGACAAAATGGTGGTGGCTAACCAACCGGACATAGTGGTGGTAGACAAACAGAAGAAGACGGCCGTAGTGATCGATGTAGCGGTTCCGAATGACAGCAATATCAGGAAGAAGGAACACGAGAAGCTGGAGAAATACCAAGGGCTCAGAGAAGAGCTCGAGAGGATGTGGAGGGTGAAGGTAACGGTGGTCCCCGTGGTAATCGGAGCACTAGGTGCGGTGACTCCCAAGCTAGGCGAGTGGCTCCAGCAGATCCCGGGAATAACATCGGAGATCTCTGTCCAGAAGCTAAGATACTGCGCAGGACCCTCAAGCTCCCAGGCCTCTGGTAGAGGACCCGAGCTTGAAGGATAAACCGCCCGCAGGGGCGTGCTGGGTGTTTTTTTTTTTTTTTATAGATATAGATAGATAGATAGATAGATAGATAGATAGATAGATAGATAGATAGATAGATAGATAGATACAAATGGCAAACAATAAACTCGTATATATATATTATTAGTAAAGATATGTTGGTATATAGTGCTACAAATAATACTTTAAAAGTATTTCTTTTATATACTTTTATAACTGTTTTATAACATAATTGCTGCATTAGCATAACAATACCTTATACCATAAAGTAGTGCCACAGAAATAATAAAAATATATTTTTATTCAGCTTAAATATAATTTCAGCTCTTAAAATAAAGAGTTGTAATAAAACTTTTATAAAACTATTATGTAACTGGAACCACTTTAACTGGGCAGAATTACAACAGCCAAATCCCTGATTACTTTGTCAAAACATATTTTTAATGAGCCCCTTAGAAGTTTGATTAATTGATGTGTTATTAACTGTCTCACATTTTAATTAATCCCTGGACAAATGGTAAACCTCTAGTCTAGAATGATATACTGTTTTACTTGCTAATGAGGATTGTTTTTTAATAATACTCCTGGGAGGTGTGTGTGACTCAGATGTTTACAAGTTGTTAAGTGGAGTTGCATAATAATGTGTGAACATTTGATTTTTTTAAACTTTAATCATGAACTGTGAAATTAAGTAAATTATTTTTACACCTTGGGTACTATAACACTGTTTATTATTTTTTCATAAATATATGAATTATTACAATCATTTATTGTTTTTTATGTACATTCATTTGCACTGTAGGAACAACAGTTCCTTCTGACATAGTAATTTATTAATATTGAAGTAAAATGTTTTACAGAAAATGCAGAAAGACAAAAACCATGTTTAATGATTTCAATGTTCGGCCTTTCCAGAAAGTATGAAAGAATACTAATTGAAACAGAGCTCTGAAGTGATCACAACAGGCAATGGGGAACAAGGACAATTTTTACTCACACAAAAGGGCAGTAAGGACATTAGGACTAATCATCTTCCCCTGGGAAATGGATATGATGAACCCTTGAGCTGCTTTGATAATTCATTTGACCCACTTATTACATTATTTGCCCTTTTTTAGTACTGTTCCACAGAAAAGGGCATGGGTTGAGTTTACTGTCTCAGGCCTTTCTATGTAAGGTTAAGGTATTTTTCTGCTTGATTGTTTATTTGAGTGGTTGACTTATCTGATGACATGGTTCACTGGAACATAAACATATTCACATTTGGGGAATTTGAAATTGCCCCAGTGAAAGTCCCTGGTTCATTTTCAGATGTTAATGTAGATATGAAATATTGAAAATATTTATTTATTTATTTTTACATGTGCTTATGCTTTTATGGAGCACTCATTGAAATACATGGAAAATCATGGAAATATATGGAAAGAGGCATAGTAAATCCTGGACTGCAGCTTGCCACAGGGCACTTTTTTTTCTTGTATGTAATTCAGTCAAAAACTAAATAAATCATAGGTGCACAAAGGAGCTTAATAGCAGGTCCTTCCTCCCAGCAGCTGTTAGACTTTATAACCATCACTCTGCATATTATCAAAAACCAAACCAGTGCTACCATTTCTATGCCACAAATTTCACAAATTTTTAGAATCCCAACACAAACAACACCTGTCTCAACATTTAGAATAACTTTTGAGCATACACTTTTTTGTGTTTTTGTTTGTTTTTTCACTCAAACTCTTAGTTTTGATGTTTTGACGAACTACCAACAGCCTTTGATTAGATGATCTCTGGCTGCGAGAGGGAGTGTGAGGTTCTAAGAGATCAGAAACATAGGCAGGAGACGGTCAAGGTTCTTTTTGCTCAAAAAAAAAAAAAGATTGTTACAGTAATCTAAGCGAGAAGAAATAAAAGCATGAATAATCATTTCTAACTCAGATTTAGACAAAAACGTTCGCAGTTTGGAGATATGACAGAGAGAGCATTTTTAAACAGCACAGCAGGTAGAATTTCATTTGGACAAGTGGTGATGTTCATTTTATCCAGCAGAAGTGAAAGGTCATGTATGGTCAATGGGTTAAACACTTACAGCAAATGAGGGGGAGGTGGACCAGAGACACAATGCTCATAAGGACATTATTAACTTTATCTACAAAGAAGTTTAGAAAGTCATCACTCTCACATAGAGAGGACACAGGTACTGGGTGGTCCACAGGGGAAACAATAGAGTTTATGGGGCGAGCGTGGCTCCAGAGTTGGGCGTGCGCCTTGTAATTGGAAGATTGCCGGTTCGAGCCCCGGCTTGGGCAGTCTCGGTCGTTGTGTTCTTGGGCAAGACACCTCACCCGTTGCCTACTGGTGGCCCGGTGGTGCCAGTGTTCGGCAGCCTCGCCTCTGTCAGTGCGCCCCAGGGTGGCTGTGGCTACAATGTACCTGCCATCACCAGTGTGTGAATGTGTGTGTGTGAATGGGTGGATGACTGGATATGTAAAGCGCTTTGGGGTCCTTAGGGACTAGTAAAGCGCTATATAAATACAGGCCATTTTATGGTTTCGAACAGTACTTTGGAATTTTTCTTGTTTGATGAGATCAACTGAGAAAAATATCCTGATCTAGCTGATTTAATGGTTTCGTGCAGGGCAACCCAAACTTTCCTAAGGTGGAGCCTGTGAACATCAATTTTAGTTGATTTCCAAAGGCGTTCTGCTTTACTACAGAGTCTTTTGACGTTCCTTATGTCATCCTTTATGAGGAGGAGCTCCATGGCGGACAAGTCCACATTGTTTCCATATCCCATTGCTTTCTTCATGTGTCTGGAAGGACTGCAGGTAGAGTGCAGGTCACAAACATACAGTGAAAAGTGGAAAGAGTACAATTTCTACAGATAATACACACTGGCCACTATTTATGGTCCTCATTCTTGTTAATAATTTAAAATGTGCTTGTTAACTTTTTTTTTCTTCTTTCGAAGTGTATGGCAGGAAAAGTTTTGCTTTTATTCTTGCATCTAGACAAAAATTAAATATCAAGCTCCATATTAATTCATGTGGGAATCTATAACGAGCCCTTGATAAATATAGAACTGTAGCTGAAATGGAGAAGCCAGTAAATTCATATCAAATGTTACACCCTGAATATAAAAGTCACTCAGCTGTAGCTGCTGATTAGATTCCTTCCTCCACAGCCAAGGTACAAAACACTAGCAGCTTAAAACACTGTGACTTCACATTGTTGTAGGTTTTGTTGAGCATTTTTTTGTTTTGTTTTGTTTTTTCAAAACATCTGCATTTTCACTATAAATTGTTGGTACTTTCCTTAGTTTATGGTTATGGTTTATTGGTGTCACTTTTAGTTGTTGTTGTTTTACACACCATATTTGAAAATGAATGAAAAAGGGGTTTTTTTTTAATGCAAGAGAACAAGACAGAATTTGATTACTGAATATTTCAATTGAAGGCAATGTGTTTTTAAAAGTGTAATTTAATTTAATTTTGTGTTTGTTTTTCTTTTTTTGTTATCCTGAAGCATTTTTAATCATATTTTATTTTTATTGATTTTTTTCAGGCAGAAAAAAAAGTGTAATAAGTATGTTCATTCAGCTTTAACGTACTGGGACACTTATCATGTTTCATTGTCAGTGTTTTCTCTTTTAGGTTTCCCATTAAGTAAAGAGAATGGAAAAAAACAAAACAGTTTCAACCGATATTCTGGAGGTCCAAGGTTTTGACATTTCTCCACAGTTAACGTATCCTCTCTTTTTCTTACTGCTCTTTGTTTACTTCACCCTGCTTTTTTCTAACATTGGAGTCCTTTTGCTTATCATTTCTCAGAAGAGTTTGCACCAGCCAATGTACTTTCTGTTTTGTAACCTGTCTGTCAATGATCTCATAGGTAACACAGTCCTGCTGCCTCAGCTAATGGCTCACATCTTGGCAACCGAACGGTTTATCACCTACAAACAGTGTGTGGTTCAGGCTTTTCAAAGTCACACATTTGGATCGGCTTCACATATGATCCTCATCATTATGGCAATTGATAGATATGTGGCGATATGCCACCCCTTAAGGTATAGTTCCATTATGACAACCAGAACTGTGGTTGGGCTGTCCGCAGCTGCCTGGGGGGTGTCAGTAGTGCTTGTGTCTATATTAATAGGTCTTACTGTGAGGCTGTCCCGCTGCAGATCCACTATACAAAATTCTTACTGTGACAATGCATCACTATTCAAGCTTTCTTGTGAGGACGTGTCCGTAAACAACATCTATGGACTCTTTTTCACTGTGCTGCTGTTTACTAGTTCAATTGCAAGCATAGCTGCCACCTATTTTAGAATTGCTCTCATTTGCTGGATTAAGAAAAACAAAGACTTAAATAACAAAGCGCTGCAAACATGTGCAAGCCACCTTGTTCTTTATCTGATCATGCTCTGGTCAGGATTTTTAACAATTATTTTGCATCGTTTCCCAAATTACCCAGACTTAAGGAAAATTGCATATGTTTTATTTCATGTTGTCCCTGCTAATCTGAATCCAATAATTTATGGAATGCAAACGAGATCATTAAGACATAAAATTACTGAAATACTGAAAAGAAAAGTGACTCCATCCTAATATTTTTTATCTTAAATTTTCTATCTTAAATTTTATCTTAAATTTTTATCTTAAATTTACAGTACTAATTTACAGTACTAATTTACAGTACTAATAAAGGCGCCTATTTTATTTATAGGCACCTTTAAATACCCTGAAGGTCACCTTACATTAGTACAAAATAAATAAATAAAGTAAGGTTTTCAGTGGTTGCAACTAAAAGGTACCTATTTTAGATTAACCTTTTCTTTTAACTGAAGTTCCAGTTCCTTTTGAAAAGTCTTTCAACAGCTCAATAACAATAACAACAGCATAAAATGACAAGACATCAGAATGAGTGACGCATTAATTTTCCTCCCACCCATGTATTCAAATCTAAATGTTTTCTACCAACCTTTTTTTTAAGTGGGGCCAAGCCTACACACTTCTATTGATTGATTGCTGAAAAGCCATTAAAATAATATCTATGACAGAGCATAAAATAAATAAAAATGTCCTTATAATCCGTATCACTATGCATGTATTTGGAGCTGAGTAATGCATTTGTTTTCAGTAAGCTTGTGGGGTTTTTTCTGTGTAGTCATTGTTAATAACTTACAACCCAAAACTTGTGCTCAAAAAGTTAGTAATGTTTTTTTTTTTTTACTTTGATAGAGTATCACAATACAAATACAAAATGTATTTATTGTACATATACCAATAGGGAATATATTTTCAGTTGTTTATTATGTACCCTTGCAACTATTATTTTCCATCTAACGCTAACTGAAGAGAGTATTTTAAATTCAGGGAATTTAAAATAGAAAGTAGCTCGTCCACAGAAGGACTGGTAGCTCCCCTTACAATAAGGGTTCAGATCGCGCGAACAGGTGTGAAATGTGTGTGTTTAGTTAGTTTGTTTGTTTGCTTGTTTTAATCAATTTTAAATCATGCTTTTTATTTGTTTTGTTTCTAATGTCTCTGTAAAGCACTTTGAATCACCTTGTTGTTGAATTGTGCTATACAAATAAATTTGCCTTGCCTTGCCTTGAAGCTTCTGAGGCTTCTTTGTCATATCCTATTAATAACAAAAGGCTTTTAGAGGTTTTTTTTTAACTAATTCTTTACTCATAAAAGCCAACTAAGATTACTGTGTGGCTAAAGATAATAAGAAATGCCAGTGATAAAATATTTCCTTGGTGAATGGCTGTTTGGATCAACTTAATCAATTCAGTTCTTCATTCTAATCCATTATCAACACTGTTCTGTATTGTTTGGCATGACTGTGTGCAAGGAGTTGTCTTTCACACCTTCAAATTAGGACCATCAGATAGAAGGAAAATATTTTTTACCAGAAATATATTTCTGAATTTAAAAAAAAAAGAAAGTACCATTGTAATCCCCCTAAAATACTTTCCTTGTCTTCCTGCATGCCACATGCACCTGGATTATCCAGGACAGATTATTTTCCCATGACATTTTACTGTAATTTTTCTCTACTTCTGTTAATGTGACATTGCATTGTAGTGCATTTCCTAACAGTTTAGAACAGAGTACTGCTGACTAAGCATTCAGACTATTTTCCTTTCTGGTCGAGATTAAAGAGGGCTATCCCTCTCTAAAACATATAGATGAGGGATTATACCAAGAGCTAAACTAATGGCTGCAAACTATGAGATTTCACGGTTAATGCATAAGCGTTACACTAGCGGTATCATCATAAGCATGTTATATGTTTTACAGAAACTGGTAACACAATTTCTATCAAAGGGTCTTGTGCTAGTATAATTATTTTATACCCATGCCAGCTGTTATATTTTCATGGATTTATAAATTAGTCAAACAAGCCATGTGAAGCATTAAAAGAGCATTGAACCCTCTCAGGGTTCACTGGAGGCCTTACTTTCTCAGGACACCACCATAACCATAGTAACTGCTTTTGACTTAACTGCTTTGTCAGATTTTGGGTTGGAGGAGGGCTGGAGCCTATTTTAGTGAGGGGTGGGATAAACCCTGGGCACATCACCAATCTATCACAGGGCTATTCAGCTGATTTTAATCTCTGCAATCAACCTGACATGTGTGTCTTTGGACTGAGGGAGCAAGCTGTTTGCCCAAGAACAGGGAGAATATATAAGCTCCACACAAAAAAGCCTCAGGTACTGACTGTTTTGAATGAAAAACCCTCTTTCTGTGACATGATAATGATGACCACTATATAAAAGTTACTGTCACATCACGGGTTCGTGAGGTCCCATTTTGGACCCTCTATTTGAAAATTATGGGCATTACCATTTAGGCTTTGTGTAGACAAAAGTGACAACATTAGGTTCATTCATAGATCTATAATTAACCTTGCATTACAGATACCTGCTAATTAGTGCAGATACCCAGTCTCATTAAGTGAGCAATGCGTCTTTAACACTTTAATACCTCTTGCATAAGTCACAGTGCATTTTAAATGGGTGAGCCATAAAAAAATAAAAAATAATTCAAATATATAATAAATCACCCTGTAAATTTGTTATGAAGGGGAATTTTTCCTATAGAGACTTAAATGGTTTATGAACCAGGACGAAAACATGTTTATTTCTGCTCAAAAGTTGTGTTTTTCAACAGTCAGTCTCAAGTGGCTAATTAAGTATTCAAGGAAACTGCAAGTAACTGTTTTTGCTGCTTAAATGATCTGTATGTTTATTTCATCACTTCACTATTTCGTTTTGTATCAGTAAATTAATAGATTCTTTTCTGGAATGTGGACATTTTAAATTTTCCTGCAACAATAAGACATTTCTTAAGCAACAGCGGATAATATTTATTTGTTGCTTGTTGATATTAGTTTATGAACACCTTAAATAAAGGGGAAATAAAAGTTCCTGTATAGAAATTAATCTGTATTTTATTTTTTAAAAGAAGAACTCAATAGTGAACAACTGAAAAAATATCATTATCATAAAATATATAGATTTGACAAAAGAACTTCCCACTTCTTGGGTGAGTGGAATAACTTTCACATAGCAAGGGGAGAAAGTCCATAAACAACAACTTTATCAAAGATTTAATTCTACTCACAAAAAGGTTTGTAATAGTAGGTGAAATCTCAAACATTCCTGGAAATATGAGAAACTTTTACAGAATCTGATAATACTGGATTATTCCTGTCCTAACCTGGAATGATCTTTATGCTATTAACGGCATTTCATGCTGTCACCAAACCTTCTGAAAAGGTCTGCAGTTATATGGTTTTGCCCATGATGAGAAGGCTCATGAAAAACACCATAATGAAAAAAATCCACATGAAGAAGCGGTCTAAAACTTTGGCCACCTTCTTCCACTCTCCAGTCCTTTTCTGCGTGGCCCTCTGATCTCTGTGGCAGTTGGCTATATACTCTATGTTACGCAAGAGCTGTGTTTCATTGCTTTGGATGCTGCAGGAAATCTCTCTGTCTTTTTTCTCTCCATCACTCACTCCTCCCTTCCTGCATCTCCTCCCCTCCCCTGAGTCACCACAGTCCAGGCTTGCAAAAATGCCATTCTTCCAAGAGCTGTAGTTGCTAGTAGGGTTCTTCCCGATTGAGCCTATAGGAGACAGCATCTGATCCATGTCTTCTTTTTCCTCTGTGGGCATAGGTCCCACTATCTCTTGTCCTCTCTCCATTCTGAAGATGCAGTCCTCTCTGCCCGGTCCCGCCTGACCATTCATGGTGCAGTTGGTGTTCTGTACAGGAGGAGGCTCCTGTTTCTCTGGCTGAGGTGACATGCAGTTCTCCCCAACTTCATAAACAAAGCACATTCTGGCCATGTACTGCAGAATGACTTTCTTGGCCCATTTGGGAACAGGCTTGGCATCAGGGCCACAGTGGTGTATGTTCATGACAAATATGGTCAGAGCAGTGGAGGCTGTAATCATTGTCATTGTTGCAATGTAATATTTTCCTGTGGAAGGAAATAAGATGAGAAAATCTGTGAACAGATTTGTAGTGCATTACTATCACACATACTGGGATTTGATTCTTACCAATTAGTGGTACATTCTCAGAGGGGGGCATGATCTCTGCAACTAGTAACTGAAAGACAGTGAGTGCCAGCATCACTGTGACACCCAATGACACCTTCTCTCCAGAGTCAGCAGGAAGGTAGAAACCAAGTGGTGCCAGAAAAGAGATCATCACACATGGTATGAGCAGGTTGAAGACATAGAAGGATGCTTTCCTCTTAAGTTTCAGTGTGTATGTCACATCTGGGTAAGGGTCAGCACAGCAACCATAAAGAACAATGCTCTTCTTAGCCGGCATACCAAGCACCTCCCACTCAACGTTTTCCACCAGGTCAGCCAGGTCAGCACTCTCCATTGCATTAAGGATGTCAAGCTGGTTACCGTTGTAGGTCCAGGAGCCGTAGGTGAACCGGCATTGCTGCGCATCAAAGGGGAAGAAAGACACATCCACTTTGCATGAGCTCTTAGTGATTGCTGGAGAATCCCACATTATCTGTCCATCATGTCGAATCACCACATTGGTGTCCATGGGACCAGTGAAATGATCATCTGCGCTAAAAAACAAAGAAATCATTGCTGAAAAAACAATGTTCAACAACACTGTAAATTCATACTAGGAGCAAATTTTGAATAGGTCTTTTACAAAAACAGCTTTGATTAGTTTCAAACTGGAAAGGCACAAGTACACTAGGTAAGGATCGTGTCTGTTTTTATTGCTTTTCAATAATATAACATGATTATGTTTAATGTTTCAGCATCCTTTAGTTTCAATGACAATTTTAAACCATGGGAGGCATCACTATATGGAATTACTTTACACCTACTTACCTAATACTTTCTTGCACTTTCAATCACTTTTCTAAAATTCAAATTTTATGTTTTTGTTTTTATAGTTGCCTAGACTGTTGTATATGCTGCATTATTGGACTATAAGAAGCAGTCGGCATAGGCCTGTACACCTACAAATGACAGCTTCAAAGCATGTTTAGCTTGTGTATTTCATATTGGGCAGAATGTCGTCATATAGTATTGAATTTGTGCCCATCCAACCTACCTGTTATAGAGAACTATATCAGGTCTCCATACATAACTACCCGGTATGCGGATGGTATCAAGGCCGTCATAATCATCTTTATTCCATTTAAGGTGTGCATCAAACCACACTTGCCGTATCCATAAATATGCAGTTAGAATTTGGTTTCGCTCATCCTGTAATATATTGAGAAAGGTGATCATAAAAGGGGAATATTACAGTTAAAACAGTAAAAAAAAAAATAAAACACAATAAAATAAAATACAAAACAGCAATACAGATATATGTGTATCTGCATGGATCAATTTCACTCATACAGTTATGTGCACTGTGGGAGTTTACCATGTCAATTATCTGGGAGAGTGTAACCTGTAGAGTTACATTCAGGATGGTGTTTGTGTCCTCTACAGGCCTCAGTGCGCTAGTGTAGTTTGTGAACAAATCCTTTAGGAGTTTCTGAGCATATCTTCCATGAGCACACCAACAAGCTAGGGCAAGGAACAAAACAGTTTAAAGTTATGTTAACACAAAACATGTGATGCATTTCAGTATTCATGTATTTCCATTTTAATCGAGAAAAATATGTGTTTGCTATGAAAGGCATGCTGGTGTGATCACAGATCATTAGATTTTCAAGCCAGTGACATGCACAACAAAGGCAGTGCTGTGGATTTAGAGGGTTGCAAGAAAAGGGAAAAACATGTGGGGCATGTGAGACAAAATATGGATGGTACAGCAGATGGTGGTAGGGAACAAAGGGCAATGGCAATCTATATTTCCCTTCTATAAGGCTCTAGAAATAGACCAAACACATCTGCCAACATGTGCCAACAGTGACTTTCTCTGCTAAAGCTCTGTATATGGAGTGCAACATGCAACATTAATCCAGTGAACAAACAACAAATAAAAATGAGCCTAAACCTGGAGGCAAAGTATTGGGAAATATTCGTCAAACGCACGAAGCCATTATTCACGCATTAAAATAAAATCTAATTAAAATAATCACTCATCAATCAGGAAACGAGCAGGAAGAGTTTTCAACAGGAAACGTAGTTTATATCACTAAATTTATTCCCAGTGTCAACAATGGATTTGGACTAACCAGATGTTAACCTCGAGTCCTGTTTCAATAAAGCCTCTGAGCTGGATGCAAAGAAGGTCTACAGGATTATGATGACAGCAAAATCCCCAAACAGCTGGCAACAAGTTTGCGGATTGCGGGAAACAGCTTGAGGGGGAGAGGAAATATGAGGTGAAAAGGATGTTCTATAAAATATAATAGATGCAATGAAATACAGATGACTGGGATCACACGTCCAACCACACTTTATAGAAAAATGTTATCTAAAGCTTTCTTCTCTGCTAGGACAGTTTTAATATAGTTCCCTTTCATATGATATTAAACCAACCTAAATAGGAACGCAAAACTGATCGACATACCGACATCGTTTTAGATTATACGAGGTAAACAGAAAATAAAACGAAAGTAACTTACTCGGCAAAATACCGACACACAGCAGCCAGCGGAATAAAGTCTGGATTCGCCATTGTTTCATCTTGCTGAAGCAAATGCCCTCCATCCGAGAACCATTTGAACTGCTCTGTCCCCAAACACGTTTTATTCGCCGAAAATAGTCTTTACAAAAACACACCGATGGGGGAAGTCAGCAGCGATGTAATCCGGTGCTGTACAAGCCCAACAAGCGCTCGGGAAGGGGCGGGACAGAACGAATCCAGCTGATACGACCACGTGTACACCCTGCACAAACACGGCGAGTTAAAGGTGGTGTTGTGTATTATCTTTGATGGGGTTTTGGTGGCGAATTAATGATAATAAGAACAGTCCCCCTGTTTGCTGTGATTCAGCACCACGGAGAACTACCGGCAACTAACAAACAAATAATAACACATTTCTCGCTCCTTGTCTTCGGGCTAAATCTGGCCAATGATTTTTTTTTTTTTAAAGATAATAATTACATAATACATAATTTGCATTATGTCGAAATATATATGCTGTAGCAATCACAACACTGTCCTCCTCGACTTTCTCTTCCGGGTGCTGGTGGTCCCCACCTACTCGTTTTACACGACAAGGATGCTACACCCGCAGGCCCGTTATCATCTCATCGGAGCATTCATCTGAGGTCGCGTAATGCAAACAACAAAACAAACAAAACAAACACCCACTAAAATGCGGGAATTTAAAATGACTGGATGAGCCGAGCAGTGTTTTAGGCGATCGACGATAGCTGATTGAGAAATGCACGTCCACCGCCCTGCATACTTAAATATTATTGTTACAGCGTAGGTATTGTTGGGAGAGACCACTGGCAAACAGTAAACAGGGTGAAGGTAGGATGGATGGATTTAGCCATTACATGTTCAGTAAATTCACGCGAATGTTTTAAATCTGAAATGTTCCCGAGTGGTTCAAGATAAATATTGACCTTATGGATGTACTTGACATGTTTACTCATCTCCAGTCTATTTTCTTCTTACCTAGCATAGCTAAAGATGCCAAGAGCGTTATATCCCATATGTGATCATCTTTACACGATTGTTTCTTTTCCCGCTGTCGCAATCTAAAATGCTACAAAGTTCAAATATTTTGGGGCATGAAAGACCCCTGGTTATTAGGGTATCCTTCGCCACCTGTGTTCTGGCGACTGTGTGCCTACCCCTGCTCGGGCTCATCACTTGTGTCTTCATATCCTCTGTTTTTCATTTTGAAGATGCCACTGGTACACACTGCCAGGTAATGTGTATGTTTAGTTCTATGGTAGTAGTTGCAATACCTTATTATGTATTGATTATATATTTTTAACCTAAACAAAATTCTTGATGTGTGTTTAGGTTCCTAATTACCTGCCATCTATAAGTGCCTCTATCAGCTTAAGTCCTGAGTGCCACATTTGGCGATTCTGCATTGGACTACACTCAGCACCAAGGTTACTGGTGGCTTTTACCTACTTCAAGTTTTACAAGGCTCGCTTTGCTACCAGGTTTCCAGAGAGTTTACTCAGCTGTTTAAACCTGGGCTTTTCTATATCTGAAAACCTTGGACTTTTGTTGCTCACATACGTATCATCCACTGAAACTTACTGTGAGTATTCTGAATTTAGTTTGCATTTTTGTACAGGCCTTGTCTGCACAAATATAGTGTAATACTATAATAATAATACTGATAATACTATTACCTATTCTTGGACATTAAAAACAAGCAGTTTCAGTTGTGCTAAGTATAATATGACTGGTGGTTGGTGCATTTATGTAAAGTTTAATAACATATTATCACAAGTTCTCCCCATTTGTTGGTCAAATTTCCCTTCCTCTTTGTGTTTTTGCTCCTTAGTTGTGCATAAGGAAGGTTTTGTCCTGTTCATTGTAAGTTCTCTAATCTACATGTTGATAACCTGCCGTTTATGGAAATCTATTAAGAAATATTCCTTAAGTCCTGAGGTAAGAAATAGCAAATGAGGCACTAGAACTTAAAAACTGCCATATCATTTGTAGAATTACAGTCAATTTCAGTATTTGTTTACTTTGTTGTGCCCTCACAGGATGCCAAGTCTCACCACTGGAAAGTGCGTTTCTTACTTCTCAATGTATGTTTCTGTGCTTTTGCCGGATTCTTTTACTGGAAACACAACATGTACTGTGAATCAGGGAGTGAGTATTTAACCCATCCTTATGTTTCTGTGTGGATTGTGTGCTGCTTTATTAATATTAATCATCAACCATCATATTTACAGTAATGCAAATATTCACAATATTCTGACCAAATTATATTTTTTCTGTACTCTGTTTCTTCTTTTATCAGGTTACACATTCTTTGCCCTGTTTGAGTATCTAGTTGTTTTCTCCAATATGGCCTTCCATCTTACAGCCGTGTGGGACTTTAAGAGCCGGGAGGTCATGCTCATTTCATCTTCAGAGGATAAAGACTTCTGACTAGAAAGTCAAGGACTAGGTACTACATGTACCACCCCCCAACCACCTGATGACAGCAGCCTTGATCCTGCTGAAGCGGAAGAGTGGGATGAAGGCCTTTTCCATATATTTCCATGATGACCACACACAAATCCTTAGTGAGTGATGATGTCTGACAAATGAACATAAGATATGCACATGTGCTACTGTAGGGGTATTAGGATAACTTTAAGTGCATTCTTTTGCCTCAGTGTCTCATTCATGGATGCCTTCACCAACCTACATGATGTTATGTAATGTGACATTTTAACTTTTATACACTGCACAGCAAATTTGTGGTCATACTAGAAATGTGCCAAAGTAAAGTGATAGTTCTTCAAGTATGCTTGGCTTTTATTTTGAAATATAAACTCAAGGATAGGAAATGGATGCATTCTGAATTCTAAGCCTTAGTGTCCAGCTTCAGAAACACTGCACTCTATTTAGAGTCCTCAAAAAAGATTGGCACCAATACTCACTTTCATGTAATAAAATGCAATATTCAGGTTGCTGTTGACAAAGCGCTTTATTCTATGTTGTTACTTATTTATGGTTTATTTTTTAAGGGCAAGTATATTACATGAACCACATTACACACCAGAGTATTTTTAATCTTAGCTAGTTTGCCGTGCCCATTCCTAGTCGGGCTTTTAAAACACAAACAGAGACATAATAAAGTTCAGTAAATCATAACTTTAAATACTTCTGCAATATTGGCAGTTGAAATGTTAATTTAACACTTTTCAAATCAGATTTCCTCAGTAATATGTGAGGAACTGTGCACACTATTGTGTCCTGATTACCTAACTCTTCGCTGTGCACCAAAATTAAATCCCCCAATAAAAACCTGTAGATTTAAATGAAAGAGTATACTCCAGCTTGACATGCCATATCAACAGATTTAGGAAAAACATGATAAAATCAAATTAAATTAAAGTACCTAAATTAAAAACAATCAATCAACCAATCAATCAATGAACCGTGTAAAATTATCCAATACAGTGAATACCTTACCTGAGAAAGTCCTATCTTTGTGAAACTGATAATACTCAGGTCTTGTTAACACTGTGTTAGGCATAGATTCACATTTTTGTGATGATGGTTAAATTGGCAGGTTACAGCTCAAAGTTAAGATCAGCCTATAATGTCAATACACAAGCCTATATTATCTGATCTCAATAACAGGAAGATTCAGCTAAAAATACCTATGTAACTGGCAAATTTAATTTAGGGTGCACAATTTAAGTTTGTTTAGCCTGACTACCTTTACACAACTTCAGCGCATCTCTTTATACTAGTTATACCATTATCAGTACCATATCTGTTGGTGCCTGTCCTGTTTAGGCCTTACACTTTCCATGTATGCACAAAGGAATTCCTGCACATGGGAATAAATTTGTCTGGTTAAAGTTTAAATGTAATTGTTTGCATATTTGTGCAAACTGTGCTGTGTCTAATAAACAAATCACTGTAAAGGTTATTTCATCGTTCTAACAGAACTTAAAATATATATATGCACTTCAACTTATGATTGACTTAAGACATCATTATATGCTACTGTTCATTTGTATTATACCACCAAGATTGTAAGGTAGTCTCAAAATATTTCCTCTGTATATATCTTGCAGTATGATTGAATTTGGACTGCTCTGAAGTTTCTTATAATCCACCATATATCTAAACCAGATGATGCAAATGATCAAAGCTTAATATTGTGTAGGTTCTAATATTAAACAATCTATCAATCAATAATATTAACCAAATATTATATGACAAATGTATGTGAAGCGCATCACTAAAAGTTTATTACTTTGTTCTTCTGTTTTCAGATGAAGTAGTCAGTAAATATCTTCAATATGTCATTAAAGATTTTAACAAAAGCTATATAATACTGAAACCTATGAACCATGATGTGATGACAGTAATTTTCTCCAATATTAATTATTTTATTTGCACTCAAACTTAAGGATATTTACCATAATATACTGGCATGACTTGGAAAATACCTCAGTGTGCAGGTTTACTCTACAGGAAAGCTACAGGACCCTGTGTTAGCCCAAACAGTCAACATTGCAGGCATATACTCTGCAAAGTGTGTACATGTGTTTAATAACAGGAATTCTAAAAAAAAAAAAATGAGTAAGAAAAGTAACAACAAATAATATATTTTTCTTTTTAATTCAAGCACCATTATTCTTTTAAATAGAGGTCTCTATCAAACAGTCAAGGTTTCCCTTTATAGTATAACTCTGAATTGATAACCAGATTAGTAACAGTCAAATAAAATTTTTGGACACCTAAAATTTCTCAGCAAAAGCCATAAACCTTCTTCAAATGTATCTTAGTTCAACAGAGCAGCATGTTTTGGGGCATTAGATCCCCTTTACTTCAAGGGGTGTCCTGCCAAGCTTTGCTGGTGTGCATGCAGGAACGTATTGCACTTCTTGGATTTCCACCTCGACACACCCTTTGGACAGAGGTCACACCATTCCAGCCTTTTCGCAGTGAAGCAGCAGATGTCCACACCTGTCCTAACACGCATCTAGTTGTGTTGTTGCTGTGAATATCCTGGGATGTAGCCTTCCTTTTGAAACAACACATGTGGTGGAGAATATGATTACATTTATCCAGCTTAAAATGCTGGCATGTTGACTTGCTTAAAATTGTGAGCAACTGCCAAGCAAAACCTGGATTGGTGTCTCATTCAATAAGACACAGATGAGCCAGCAATCTGAGATGCACAGGACGAGGATGTATCTAAGCAAGGCAAGGCAAGGCAAGTTTATTTATATAGCACAATTTAACAACAAGGTGATTCAAAGTGCTTTACAGAGACATTAAAGAACAAAAACAAATAAAAAGCATGATTTAAAGTTGATTAAAAAAACTGTAGATAAAATCAGAACGGTAGATAAAATCAGTAGTTAAAATGTAAGTTTTGAAATGTAAGTTTAACAGTGTGGATTTGGTGTTTTATTGAAATGCAGCTGAGAACAGGTGAGTCTTCAACCTGGATTTAAATAAACTGAGTGTTTCAGCTGATCTGAGGCTTTCTGGGAGTTTGTTCCAGATATATGGAGCATAAAAGCTGAATGCAGCTTCTCCGTGTCTGGTTCTGACTCTGGGAACTGATAAAAGACCGGATCCAGATGACCTGAGGGATCTGGAAGGTTCATACTGGGTCAGGAGGTCACTGATGTATTTTGGTCCTAAACCATTCAGAGCTTTATAGACCAGCATCAGAACTTTAAAGTCTATCCTCTGACGGACAGGCAGCCAGTGTAAAGACCTCAGAGCTGGACTGATGTGGTCCACTTTTTTGGTCTTAGTGAGGACTCGAGCAGCAGAGTTCTGAATGAGCTGTAGTTGTCTGACTGATTTTTTAGGTAGACCTGTAAAGATGCTGTTACAGTAATCAAGCCTACTAAAGATGAATGCATGGTACTAGTTTTTCCAGGTCCTGTTGAGACATCAGGGCCCGTATCCCTAAAGAATCTTTGTGCAAAAAGTGGCTCCTAGCGGCCAAATTCTAAGAAAATTCTCAGAGTCATGACGTTTTCTTAGAATTTCCCCTAAAAGTGACACGACAATCCCAGTTAATATAAAAGCTATTCCTCAAGATTCCTAGCGCTTAAAAGGGCTCCTAAGGCGAGATCTGCTAAGAGCAGGGAAGAGGACTTTTAGTGGCTTAGGAGTTCCCCTAAGCAGCTGCACAAAATGGCCAACAGAAGAGGCAGGAGAGATGTCCTGCAAACACTGGATGACAGGGAATTATTGAGACGCTACAGATTGGATCGTGCAGGAATCATGTTTGTGGTGGATCTCCTTAGAGATGCAATTACTTCACCAACTCGACGCCACAACGCTATTACACCGGAGACGAAAGTAATCACAACCCTGAGGTATTTGGCAACCGGGAAAATGCAACAATGCAGCAGTGATGACTTGGGTCTGTTCCAATCCTCTGTCAGCAGAGTCATCACCCAAACACTGACAGCTTTGTCACAACCTAATATTGTGACACAATTTGTTTCATTCCCGCTGGATGCCCGCACTTTACACACACATAAAAGGGCATTTATGGACATTGCAGGATTCCCTGGCGTTGTGGGTGTAATTGATGGAACACATGTGAGAATAATTGCGCCATCAGAGGACGAGGCTGTCTTTGTTAACAGGAGGAATTTCCACAGCATCAATGTGCAAATAGTCTTCAATGCGGCCTGTAAGATTTTGGACATTGTGGCTAAACGGCCAGGCTCCACACATGATGCGAGAATGCTCTCCGAGAGTGGCATCAGACAGCTTTTTGAGAGACGCTATGTGCCAGCTAATTGCCACTTGTTAGGGGACAGTGGCTACCCATGCAAACCATGGCTCCTTACACCTTACCTCCAGCCACGCCAAGGGCCCCAACTAAACTATAACAGGTAAGCCAAACAATACAAAAATCATGGAAATGAAATGCAAGCAATATGTTAGAGCATCCAAGTAGTGCAATATTTCCATCAAATAATTAAAGGTCTCTGTATTCTATTGTAGGGCCCACAAGACAACAAGAGCGGTGGTGGAGCGTGGCATAGGCCAGCTTAAGAGGCGCTTTCATGTTCTCCACGGAGAGGTGCGGCTGAGGCCTGAAAAAGTCAGCAAAGTCATCATAGCCTGTGCAATATTACACAATATTTGCAAGGTTAGACAGATTGCAGAACCTCTGGAGGATGGCGATGGGATGAGACAACGATGAGGATGGTGGTGAAGAAGATATTTACATTCCACAGGGGAACCTAGCCCAGAGTGGACTGCCTTACAGGGCAAACTTCACAAATTTACATTTCAGGCAAGCTGTAGCCCCATGTCTTTTGAGAACTTGTGATGGTATTAAGAACTACCACAGTTTTACTGCACATCACCTGCAATTGTTAAATGCAAGACACAGAACACAATCTGTAAATGGTTTATTTTTTAGGTGTTCAATTTTAAGGCGGTAGTACTCCTCCTGAAGGGAAAGGACTTTTTTTTTGTTGTTCAAACACATCAATTGTGAGTTGCAATCTGCTCTCCTGCAGGGATGCTGACGGAGCAGGTGCTGCGGATGGGAATGGTGTTTGATCCGCTGGGCTATCCTGATATTGTGTCCCAGGCGCGCCTCTTGCCTTGGCTAGTGACAGTTGGGCCAAATTTTCCTCGTAACATACCTTTATGGGCCAGCAACAAACCTTGCTCCTCAGCTCCAGTTCGGCTTGTGAGTCCTTTTTTTCTCTCCATTTTCTGTGTTTGTAGGATATTTGTTAACAAGCCTTTATAAATAGTACCAGCCAGCAATCACAGACATTGATAAAAGCTGAGCCGTGTTACCCTCGTTAAGACCACACTGGACTTGTAACGTTGTGATTTCTACTTCATTAAGGACAGCCCCTTGAGATAGGCCATCTTGTTTTCAATGGGGTCCATATGGGAGTGAAAGTACAAAATATGCCAGCTAGGATATTAATATGAGCAAATAAGACACGAATCATTATTTGAACAGGGTGTAATGAGTTTAAGTTTTCACATATTTTAGATTCTAATGTTAGGCTATAACCCCTACAGCTTACTATTCATTTTCCAGATATTTTCTTGAATGTGAAATATTATTTACAATTACAGTCAGCATAAGATTAGAGTGTATAATATGTTTATTGATTTGAGGGTACATCCTTTGCTCATTATCACCAAAAGCTCATTTCCATCAAACTTGTAGGATCAACCAATCACGGCTTTTGAAATGATGACTCATACCTAGCAACGGGGTCAACCACACCTCCTCACTAAGATAGGATTTCCCATCCATTCCTTGCTCAGAGTTCACTGAAAATGTTCTGGAATCACTTCTAAGCTAAAACTCCTGGCAAGGAATTTTTAGGTTAAGTTAGGAGCTCTCTGAGAGGATTCTCAGAATATTTAGGGATACGGGTCCAGATCTTTTGTCCTTGAAATATTCTTGAGGTGATATTAAGCTTTTTTTGTAAGCAGGGGAAAGTGCCATCGCCTTGACCTTGCTGTTGTCAAGACTGACGACCTGTCCAAGGTGAACACCACCTCTCATCTCATGGGCTGTATCCCAATTCAGGGTCTGCAGCCTTAAAGTACGCATTTCAAGGCCGATTACGTCACGGCGGCGCGCCGAAGGCTGTCCCAATTCAAAGGCTGCTCGAAATGCGGCCCTGAAATGCGTCCTTCATTTCCCTGAATTTTAAGGCTATGGCAGTGTAGACTTCGTGGCCTAACATATCCCAGAATGCATATCGCAGCGGTGGGTGTGGATAATTTTGCGGTGGATGAGGTGGATGAGGGGCGGCCAAAGAGTAAACTTTTTAGTACTGAATATTATGTCACTTATTTATGTGCAAATGTTTAATAAAGAAGAACATTAAACATTACTGTTGGCCACATGTCGGCAAAGTTATGTGACATTAGTGACGTTTGTACTAACTTGGTTTTAAAGCCTTTACTTTAAAATATACGCCGTTCAATAGCTGAGCTTAATCTTACAGAGAATGATCAAAGCTCATGTAGAAAGAAATAAACAAATGAACAAAAGATTTTCTCTTTCATTTCTGTCAAACAAAGCTGTACACGTATCCAGCTGTTAGTATCATGGTTGCTAGGCAACCTGGGCAGCGCAACGGAGGCTAGACCGTCCCGTTTCACAAGCCTCGCACTTCCGGCCTTAGCGGTCTTCGAGTACGCGGCCCTTGAGGATCGTTGAGGCTGCTACTTTAAGGCTGCAGACCCTGAATTGGGATACAGCCATGGTATCTGGGATGGACTCAATCAGCCATGACGGCTTGTGTAAAATCTGGTTATAGCTTGTTGAATTCAGCTGTGTAACTCTACAAAGAGCAGAGATGGAAAAAGTTAGAGTTTTTGTTTTAATGTCTCTTTAATGTCTCTCTTCAGCTTGGACGCTTGGATCAAGTATAGCCTACACTCCAAACGCTAGGGGGCGTCATTAGCCGATGATGACTATACGGAGGAGGAGGGAGTACTAGTCCCTTTGCACTGTAGAGGAAGACAGCTCACGTCTGTCCACATTCTGCGGCTTTTTCGGTTCGGTCTCTCGGTCGGTGGAAGAGCGAGACCTCTCACAGGAGGTGGAGTTCGCCGTGCTTAAGCTACGCGGGACCAGTCGTCTCTTGCGATGTTAACAGAGAGCTGAAAAGACAGACCTCCTTGCTCCAATACATGACAGGTAACTTTATCCTGTGTTGTGGTGTCCCTGTAGTAGCATTCAGCGTAGATAAAAACTACAATCCCTCGTCGGTAGCGCTCTCTCTTGTGGTTAGCTAAACGTCAGCAGTCGCTAATGTGCGCCTGTAGAAAATGCAGCAAGTCGACAGTGAAATAAACACCTCCATCTGAAAACTATAGAAGCGTCTATATGAGGCAGGTTGGACTGTTATTTTTCCATTGGAGGCTATTACACCCAATTGTCGAGTTAACGGAGATGTCGAGCTAGCTAGCTAGCACGCCAAGCCCTTTTTAGACATCAAACTACGAGACGGACCAGACTTCTGTCACTTTCTCATAATCTTTTTACTTCTCTTCCTGAAGCGATATTTTGGGGAATTATAGGGATAAAAAAGGCCACATACCAACTAAACCAGCATAGTAATGGCTTAAAGGTTACCTTAGCTACAACCAGGTATTAGTAAGCTAATGACTGTTCGATGGCTCGTTCAGGAAGAAGAGTCACACATGAGAAGTGAGCTTTATGTAACAGCATTTCTTGGTGTGCTATAAGCTGCTTAACGTAGTTCCCTGTCCCTGGGAAAGCGGTCATATGTTGTAGTATACCACCACTACACTCCGAATGTGTTATGCAAGAGTTGTCAGAGTGTTTGATGGACTCTTATCTTATTTCCAGCGTACACAAGTCATGGAGCTCCACAGATCCTTGAGCTTGTGGATATTGTGTTTGTGTCTCGTTGGAGAAAGTTGGACTGAAAAGCCAAGTTCACCTACACCGGTGGACAGTCAGCTTGCTGAAAATGGAATGCGAGGTGAGTAATCAATCATGGCAATAATTTGTTATAGCAAACCGTGAAAGATGTAATTGTATCCCTCTTGACACACACTATACCGCCTGTTTGAGGACAGCAGTCTGTGTCACAACATTGCTATTGTTTGCAGGCACTAAATGTAGCCATGCTGAGAATAGTCTGGCTGGCATTTGCCATTAAGCCCTGTCCTCCTACTTCGATCTAGCCACTGAGTCAAACAATAAGCAGTTCATTAAAAAAAAAAAAACATTAGTGGAAAGAATGACTATTGGGTGAATGTAGGCATTTTATTTCCAGTAAATAATAGATTAGACTAATTATTTTCCAACTACTTGTAGCACAAAAGACAAAGGCGCACCAGCCAATTATAACCTTGTTATTTAGAAGTCTGCTAGTTTAATGATTTTTTTATTGGATTACAATGGATTTTTATTTTTTTACCTTGTAAATCGTTTCTATACTTTTTTGAATAGCAAACCAGTACCACTGAATTAATCATTTCTGCATTTTTATTATTGAACAGTGCAGTGAAATGGGAAACTGCTCAAATCGTCTACACGCATCAGTAGAGATGATGCACTTCAAATGTATTTTACTCCTAAAAATTTCAGTGTGCCATATAATTTATTCTTGATGTGACAGTGATTTTTAAAGCTTGACTGGTATTCTAAATTATCATGGGAGACAGTGGAAGAAGGATTTATGGGGTGGAAAAGCTATGGGTGTATTCTTCATCTAAATGGAAGCTCACAGATTGACGTGAGTAACCTGAGCTCTTTTAAAAAAAAATATATATATATATATATATGCAAATATCTTATCTTGTGTCTCTGGAGGTTTGCAAACCAAATGAGAAAGAGAGAGAAGGCCAGGTTTGGCGTTTGAGAGTGTTACAGGTGGTAGACTTTTTACTGAAATAACTGTCTTTTTTTTTTTTTTTTTTGTTTAACGCAAAGTGTGTTAACGTTGAAAGTGAGTAATCACTTTGTGGTATGTGGCTTTGCAAGTTTGCTAAAAGTTGAAAGCGTGCATGCTCACAAATGAACTTATAACTACACGGAAGTTCACCCACACCATAAGGTACACTTTGCAAGTTAAAAAAGTTTTATAGGCTTACAGACACAAATTCATGGTCAGAAATTATTTCAGGTATTAATCTGTGACATTTTTACTCTCTGTTCTCTGTCCTTAATTGCTAAGCCTGCATGTCAAAACATCCAGTTCTGGGAATTAACAAAACATGGATTGGTATGATGTGTTGATCAGTAGGAGGGGGCATTACACTGTAACCTCCGGCACAATGCAAGCCAAATGCCTGCAGTCTGTTATAGTTGAGGAAAAAAAACAATGTGGGTGTCATTGATTAATGATGAAGCTGCATGAGCTCATTTATGAAAGGGGAAGTGAGGTTATGTTTGCATACTGCTACACCATGTTATGGGAAAGATGGTACAACAAAAAGAAGAATCCTTGCCTGATAGTCAACACTGCTCAGTTTTCAACCTAGAATCAAGGTTTTTGTCAGTAATCTGTAGTGTGATTAAAAAGTTCCATAAAAATGTTTCTCCAGGAGTATGTTGTTGCTGTAAAAAATCCAAGTTCAGACCCAGAAAGGAAGTCTTGACCACTATTTCTTGTTGGCATGCAGGCAAGGCGTGCTTCCCTTTTAACTCTTTTCTTCATCGTTTCCTTTTGTGGTTAAAATTTAGTCAATTGTGTAGCAAAGCTTACTGCTTTAATATATGCTTCTTAATCTTACTTATGTTTTCTAAACTTGTTGTTTTGTAATATTAGTCATTCCCTTCATTGGTTAAAATAGTGTCTGAGATATACCTGAGATCAGAGCTGCATATAGTTCATACAAGATAGATTTAGAAGATAGATTTGAAATCAATAGAATATGAAGCTTTCATGAGTACTGTTCTTGTAAGTTTACCTGAACCGTGCTGCATTCAATCAAGGAATGCACACACACTCTTAAAACTGCCATTGCTGCACACATGCAAAAATGTTTTCCTCTTAATGGGAGTGGCGTCATCATCTCATATCTAGCAGAGGATCAGTAATCCCTCAGGAAGCAAAGTGACACAGGAAAACAGTGGGCACGCAGGGACATCATAAGAGACGTCCATTTTGATTTCTGTATAATTAGAGTCCTACATACGGATATTTTTATACAATACTAAAGCCTGTAGAATAGCAAACCTGAGTTTCTTGACATTAAACAGAATAGTGACAATGACATCTAAAATTATGATGCCTCTACATGTTGAAAGCTCATAGTTATTTAAGATCGATTCAGTTCAGTGAGTGGTCTGTTTTTGGTCTACACATAGGTGTAGCAGATACAGTCAAAAGTACCTGCCTTTGTAACAGCCCGCAGTAAGTGAAAGGCCTTATATAAACAAGCCTTCCTATGCAGCCAAGGAATGTTGCAGTTCAGTTATCTTTGCTAAAGAGAGTGCTGTGGGGAAGCCAATTCAGCAGGGGACATTGAGAAGGTTTTCTGTCTTTTCTGCAGGAAAGTGTACACAAGATTAAAAGCTATTAGCCTTTATTGCATCACAGTGTTGCAGTGTTACAAATGAAGTGCTAAGCGCAAAAAAGAACATCTTAGACATTATTTTTTTACAAAAACCTCTAATGTTATATAAATGTTTTTTGTTTATCTGTGCATAGTTACATCTACTCTTTATCCAGTTGTACTTTTTTTGTCTGTTTTTGTTTGTTTGGTATTTTTGGTGATTGTAAAAAGTAAATTAGTAATTGTAGAATAAGGAAAAAACTAAATATTAGTCGACGAATTCGTGGACCTTTGTCACTTAACAACTTGTGGATATGACTTCTGTTTCTTCACCAGATTTTTGTCGCATTGATGAGCCACTATGCAAGGATGAAAATGCCTTTCTCACCTTTGAAGCTATCCGTAATATCCATAAGCAGATGGATGATGATGCAAACGGCAATGTAGATGTCGTAGAGACAGATGGCGTAAGTAACAACCTGAAAAGCCCTCTAAGTTAAATAAGACTGAAGTGTTGCTATACTCTAACAATATCAATTCTGCCCTCTGTGTTGGAGAAGTGAAGTAATATTGATACAAAGGGTTATCTTTCGTGTTTTATCTCACTGACACAGTTTCTAACTTGCTCTAAGAATAAGACATCCTTCTTTGGTGGGGTTTTTCTTTCTTTCCCTCTTCACAATTCAAAAGAGAGCTCTTTCTCCTGAAGTCTGTGAGTGAGGGGCAGGGATACAACCAGCTGAGATCCTGCTCTTAGTGAGGGAGTGTTCTAAGGCTTGGACACACTTCACTAGAGCTGAAGCTGACAGTGCTCGGAGCCTTATATACTCATTGTCATGCTCAAAATTCTAGTTTGAGAGGATTTGAGCTTTCAGACATTGCACATTGCAATGTGGGCAAACTGTGGTTATAAAGGTACTATTAACAATACTTAGGTAGGCTGTGACATATAAATTACACTCAGTTGGTACTAAAGGCCACAAACTGTGCCAAGAAACGATCACCCACACAATTACACCACCAACAGCAGCCTGAACCACTGATACAAGGTAGGATGGATCCATCCTTTCATATCGTCTCTGACAAAGTCAAATATCTAAATCACAGTAGGAATTGCGACTTATCAGAACAGGCATAGGTTTTCTTATCATGGTTTTTCTGTCCAATTTTGGTGAGCCTATGGGACCAGTAGCTCTGTATAAACACCACTGAAGTTGCAGCATTTTTACAAACCAATTCTGGTTCATCCGTTTCACTAAACGATCCGCTTTCCCGTTTCTCATTCTCCGTTGCCGCCATGCTTTTTCGGCCATGTGCGTATGAAAACAAAAGCACTGCACATGCACGTTTTACCCATATTCTATCGCAATATTTTATTTTCTTATCGTTGCCTAACATTGTACCGGCATTACCATGAACGGTATGGTATGGCCCAGCCCTAGTTGAATGAGTGTACCTAATATAGTGGCTATGCTGTTACTTTAAACCCTCTGTCATCTAAAATTTTGTAGATTTTGCTCCAAAGGTGGCCAGATAATGACTGTCTAACTGGTAGGTTCATCCTGTTGCACTCCAGTGCTCTTGCTGATATACCCTTTTCCCTTGTCAAATAATTAACCTGGTGTATTTACTGGCTTAGAAAGCATAGCTGGTATTCTTTCTACCCTTGCCTCTCAGAGTTGAATCAAAGGTATTTTTGAATACTCTTGACAGCTTTTGTCATTACAGTAGAATCACAACCATGGAAAAGACAGTCCTAAAACAACACATGCAAATGAAGGCCTAGTATGAAGATGGGTGTGGTGTGGGAGAGTATTTCTCGCACTAAATCCTGTTGTAACTTGCATGTGATTTGTAGACAATTATGCTGCAGTTTCTTTAAAAAAATGTAGCACAAAGGGGATTTGTGAAGCCACAATCTGCTTTGTGCTTATGGTAGAGTAATACTGCACAGTACAGTAGTTCTCCTCAATAGCATAAATTATAAGCAAAACAGAAAAAAAATACATATGCATATGTACAGTAGTGTAATGTTGCACTGTAAGCTTTAGTGTAAACTACAAGTTTTGGCCTCGAGAAAGCCGCCTCTGGTGACTTGATTCAGGTATGGTTCGGGCTCAGTCTGTGTTATGCAGCTGAGGCCAGATCAAAGCAGGTGGCACGATCACTGCTTTTAAGAGGGGCACTTGGCATGCAACCCCCCTAAAGCAAATAATGAAGAGAAGCACAGTGAGCAATCGTATGTGTAGTGGCTTTTAGCCAAGAAATGGAAAGCTCAAAATGATGATGAAGAGTACTTCAAGACAACCCTCTTTTTCTTGTTAATCATACAGTGATTAAATAAGGTGGGGAGTTGCTTTCTTTACGAGCAAGATGAAAGTGTACATCTGGTCTCTTAACAGTAACCTTGGTGACTCTGTCACATTATACAGGTCCTGCTAATTTTCCATTGAATATGTTCGGGAGTGCTGTATTTCACCTGCAGCAGAGACATCTTGCTGCACTGTAGTGAAATCTTCCCACACAAATCTATCAAGAAAGAAAGGCATCATGACTTATTACTGTCTTTCACCCATGACTCTGCTTTTGTGGGAGTGCTAGATGTTATGTAGGGTTCATTTTTAAAAACCTGGTGAGTGGGTTAGCCTACAATACAGTGGGCAATCAGCAATGTGGTTCCAAAAGCCAGTGAGGGACAATTACCATTTCAGTGAGAATGCAAGTGGAATTTACACTACGATCAGTCTTTGGTACAGTTTAGTGAGCATGACACTGTCTTATTCTAAAAGGAATACAAAAAAAGCTGTTTTTATGATTAAATGTATAGTAGTTTTGAACAAAAGTGAGAATGGCATTCTGTGTTGCACAATTAAATAATGAGGGGAAAATCCCTGGTGAGGTATTTATTATGTTTTATTTCATGTTAAGCGAGTGAAGGCAATGGATATATCCCACAGGAGTTGCATTTAATTGCACTAAAACGATGGATTAAATATTACAGCAGTGAAATGGGTCACAGTGCTCACAATCAATAGAAACCCTAAACACCATTTACAAATGTGGTCTTTCCGCATTGTCACAAAGCAATGCACCTCTTTGTAATAATGGTTTCATTAGAAGTGATCATGTTTTGTGGTGTCACAGCTTTGCAACATGAGAAGTTTGCCCTCATGGCGTTCTGTCTGAAAGGCTTTTTTTAACTATATGGCTATTGTTTTGTACACAACTCATGATATCGTTCTAAACATAGCCAAGTACTTTTACTGCCTAAATGTAAACAAACCCTAACTGAGAGCTCACCGTTTTTTCCCCACAGCCTCATCTTCATATGGGGTTTGTGACTTAACGTTTTCACTCTCGGTGTGAACCATGCATTTGCATTTTTTTTCCAAGTTCCAAAGCTATCATATGACAACATGGCGATACCTTAGTTGTAGTGATTGCCCTACAGCAATATTGTATTGTAGGAGCAACATCAACAAGGTAATATAAGGTGACACTCCCTTTCCTTTCACTCTTGATGTCACTCGCCCCTTTTAGCAGCAACATTTGTTTAGATAGTTTGGAGAACATGGCACCAATTACAATGGGTCTGATTTTTGTCTTGCAAAGTTCACACCACTTCAATTAAGCAACTAAGTTTGATATACAAAGGTATCATCTTTCAAAGCCAACTTTAAGGACTTAAAGATGTGCTCAAAGTTTGGTCATAATACGCTAGCCAAAGTTTTGAATGCACTGTCAGTTTCAGTGGTGAAATTGCAGTTGTAAAACAAATGTTTTAACAGTGTAGCTATTTTGTCATGCAAGTCTTGTAAAAGGTTTTTGTTTGTAGCCATTACAAATGTCTTTGTCATACTGCAGTTCCTGAGAGAAGATTTAAACTACCATGACCCCAAGGCCAAACATAACAGCTTCCATGGGGATGACCAGTTCATCAGTGTGGAGGACTTGTGGAATTCATGGAAGGGCTCTGAAGGTACAGTTTTGTTGCAAAAAGGGCCTTTCTTTCACATCTATTTCTATGTAGAGTTGTATGTTGTAAACCTTTTTCTGCACACTTGATACCTCCAAACACTACTTAATGTTTGATATTGTAGCAGTGATTTTCATTTTTAATGAAGCAGTCTTAGTGACTTTGATTACCAGTCAGAGAATGGCAGAGCTTTTATATGCCTGTAAATAAAGGTTTATGTGCTTCCCTCTGACTGAAAGTGTGTGTTACAGCTTATCCATGCTTGACCCTTTCACTCAATTAACAAAGGCACAAAGTAGTTGATAAGATTGCATGCCCAGCAAAGTGCACTGTTCTGCCAGAGTGGCCCAGAGTTAAGATCGTTGAAGCTGTCAGCACAAAATTCAGTCACACTTCTTTCTGACTATGTCCAACCATACTAATGTATTCTATTATACTCACTCAGAGCACTTTCATGTGCTGTATCTGGCACTCACCTTTTAGCACCCTTTCCTCTGACTGCTTTTACCACAGTTTTGCTCACAGTACTGACTTACTCTGCATTGCAGTTTCTTGACAAAGTTTTAGAGGTTCTGAACAAGGAAACAGGGTTATTGTACAAGGGAGCAATGTATTAACTTAGTCAACTCACAGTTTTGACTCTCTGCCAGGTGCTGGGGATCAGATTTGCCTTCCCCAATTATTCCTGTCAGCATGTTATGCTGCGGGGATCTCGTAGATCATTCAGTATGCGTATGCACACAGTCAAACAATGCATTTTGTGTCAACCTGTATTATGCAGTTGCAATAGTGATGCATTTTTTCTCGGCTGCAAGTGTTAGATTTGAAATGAATTGATGTTTATGAGGTTACAGCTGTTTCTCAGATAAGTTTTTACAGTGTAGCTAGAAAGGAGAACATTGGTTAAATTACTCCAGCCTTTGCTACAGTAATAGTTAATACTTAGTTTCAGATGTTGTGACTGCCTGAGGTCTATGAATCAGACATCAGGAAACACTTGGTTTCTTCCCTCTTGAATCTCTGCTCCCCTATATTCAAACATGCTTTAATTATTTCTGGTTTCAGAATTATATATTTTTTGCCTTCAGTCTGTTTTTAAGCAAGTGAAACATTTTCTATCTAGTCGAGGTCATCTAACCAACTGCTGGCGTGAGAAAGGAAGTGTAATTCCCTTTCTGGATTGCTTTGACTAACTGTTGTGCTACACGACTCTTAAATTAGTCGCTGGAAAGCTACAGCTGTCCACATGATTCCTTGAATCTTTAGAAGTTGTGTATCATCTGCATAACAGTGGAAGCTAGCACTGTATTTGTGGATGGCCCAATGGAAGGCCTGTGGGGAACACCACATGAGAAGAGGGCTGAGAATGAGCTGAATCATCCATTTAGGAAATAAAACAATCTAACTGACAAGGAGGATTCCTTGAACATCCTCAAACACAGTGAAAGATTACAGTCAAAGTTTCTCTTTTAAAACAGTTGTGTTAGAAAATAGCAAGACAGTAAAATATACTGCAGCTATTTATTGAGTTCTCTCTATGAAACGTGAATAAATATGAATTCTACTATTATAAAATGAATAAAAAACAGAAAGAACGAATGAGGCTGGAGGACAAACTGGCATGTAATTTGGTCTTTATATCTGGAACATTTGTGATTATAGAAATCCTTTGTCTTATATGTATTCACAGCTAACACTAGTGACAAACACTGCTATAATGCCAGACATGCTTTTATGGGGTATTTTAATTTAGAAGCAGGAAGTTTTAGAAAGGAAATCCTGTTGAGTTACAATTGATTATTATCTGTGAAGACTGATTCAAGTTCTGATGTTGTCTTAAATATCAATCATGATATTTGTTAGCAGAATGTCCATCCATCCATTTTCTGTCATGTATCTGGGTCTTAATCCTGGGGCAGCAGTCTGTGCCAAGATGCCCAGACTTTCCTCTCCTCCACCTCTCCCAGAGGAACACCAAGGCATTCCCAAGCCAAACCATAAATCTAATCTCTCTTGTGTCCTGGGTCTGCCCCGGGGCCGCCTCCTAGTAGCACATGCATGGAACACCTCACCTAGTAGGTGTCTGGGAAGGCATGCTGGTCAGCTGCCCATAGATTCCTGACTTACTGTGGGGAAGTAAGTTTGACTCCGAGCCCCTCCTGAATGGCCGAGCTCCTCACTTTATCTTTAAGGTTGAGTCCGGCCAATCACTGGTGGAAGCTCATTTCCATCGCAGTTTAACTCTTTTGGTCACTACCCAGTACTCATATTCATAGGTGAGGGTGGAAGCAAAGATCAACCGATAAATCAGCTACACGCTTATTACTAATACACTCGTCTTACTAGCAGAATGTATTTGTCACATTTTTTTTTTTGTTTGTAGGTTGTTATAAGAGTTGAAGGAAATACTTTTCATTGTCATTTCATTATCTGTAGTTTGATTGGATTTTTTTCATAGTGTTTATATTTTGGGCTACAGAAAGAATAATTGTCGCTTCGGGAACAACCAATGTGGTGCAAAATAAAGACTGAGAATTGTAATTATAGTGAATATTTTGTTTCTTCTTTTTGCCAACAGTGTATAATTGGACAGTGGACAAGGTGGTGGAATGGCTCATCAGCTATGTGGAGCTGCCACAGTATGTGGATGCATTTCGCAAGATGAATTTCAATGGAAGTGCCATGCCAAGGTGTGACATCATCATGACTTTATTTTCCTTTGTTTCTTTTTTCAAACTGAACCGATCTATGAACCCTACACATCACTGTGTGTGATAAAGTGTCTTGGTTTACTTATTACTGTGGAGATATTTTTATGTACTTAATACAACTTTTTAAAGTCATTAAATTGGCTGTCTTTGTTAATCTGTTTTATTTTGATATGGGTTACTTTAGTTTACCTTTGATGAATTAAGGACTTGTCAAGCGATCGCATTACAATCTTTGTTGTGTGTGTGTGTGTGTGTGTGTGTCCCGCTTTCTTCCTGCGAAATGAATGCACGTCTGGTCTCTTTCAGGCTTGCTGTAAAGAACACCACTCTGACACTCTCTATTCTGAAGATTTTGGATCGAAGCCATGTGCAAAAGTTGCAGCTCAAATCGTTGGACACCGTACTCTTTGGAGCACCACTGAGTATGTAACTTTATTTTTTGCAAGTCGTGTCTGACTTTTAGAAACACGGCTTCCCCAGCAGACAGTCTACTATATGAATCTCTTGCATTCAAATGTTTTACTGTGGAAAATAAGTTTCATTACCAACATGACCAACATCCTGCCCAATTTGGTCTACTGCTCTCATTTTCATTCGCTCTTTGTCCCTGTGAAGTGTTGTGGCCAGAGTCACCAGGTCTATGCAATGCTTGATTTATAGTACTGCACTAAATCTTAACTGTAGCCATGCCATAGCACCTTTCCAGAAACGCTACACATCACAGCAAAGCAGATCTCAATAACTCTTTGGTAATGAAATGTGGCGTATTGATTAGTGGAAGGATTATACCTCTGTGAAACATAATGTAATAGACTGTAATTGTGGCTAGCTTCCTCATTAGACTGAAGCAGTAACTCATAATTTGCCAGTTTAGCTTGTGTTTGTTTCTTCTGACAGATGTAACAATCTGTGTATAGACTCTGTAAGTCCCACAGTCTTCTCCCCATTCTGAATTCCAGTTAATTTAACTATTGTTAAAGATTAATTGGCTTTCACTCATGACTCATGTTAGTAAAACGCAGACACAACAGTGTACGAGTATAAACAACATAACCCACAATTGTGAAAGGTGTATGCTCATTCAACCCAGTGCTATCATTTAAGCTTAGGAAATCCTGTACCACCTGTATCAATTTCAGGGACTCAGGAAGATTTAGACTGTTAGACCACACTACTCTGTATTCCAGACACATCACTCTGCGTACAGAGGCAAATAAACACTCCACTCATCCTCTTCTTCTCCACTATCTCTGCTCCAATTCTGCACTTGTAGATTGTAATCCTTTAGGGGTTTCTCAGTTTTTTTAGCTCCTTAGGGATTTGTAACATCACAATGGATAGGTTGTCTTCGATATCATATGTCCTGTCAGCAGTTTAGATGTTTTTTTTTTAAAAATTGTTTTGATACTGGAGAATTATTTCCCAGGAATTTCATAGAGTAAAGGTGTGTATTTAGAAGAGTTTATGAGACGTCAAAAAGAAAAAAAGAAAATCTAATAAACAGTCAGTGGAACCAGGTATTTGCTTTAAGCACACACACACACACACACACACACACACACACACACACACACAAAAAAAAAACAGGAAAGGGGAAGAGTGTGTAGTGGTGTGTGTCTGGCATGTGTCATTGTGAATGTGTTTTGTAAGAGTCACCCGCAGGAAGACATTAGCAAGGGCTGTCTGGCTTTGACAAGCTCTCAAAACCAGGGGGTCCCACTAACAGCCAGACTGACCAACTGTGAAGCGTAGCAGCATTTTAAGACACACTGCACAAAAGGTTGCACCTAATCTGGCCAACAGTTGTGTAATAATTAACCCAAGCTCGTTTGGGTCCTGTTATTTCCAGTTCTGTGGCTAATTACTTGTCACTTGATGCTCTCTTGGTGGTATTCCTGAAAGAAATTGAATGTTTTGTTCACTGTATGTAAAAGGAAATTGCCTACAATAAATAGCCCAGCAGAGGAGTGGCATCAGGAAATTGCATTCTCAGAGATAATGCCCTGTTTTTCATTTTAGCGTCTGTGCTCAGTGAAGAACTATGATGCACTAGACATGCATTTCAGTAAGCATGACTCATTTTGGGTTATTGTGTTCCAGGTCATTTAAGAGGTAAAGATCTGTTACTCAAGGTCACATTATTGGAGGAGCGACCACCAAAATAAGGTTTTTCTTCTGTTGCCTGTCAGCTAGACGTTATTGACCCATTTTGATCAAAACGAGGTGAAAAACCTATCTGTGTGCTTTTATTCTTACATCAATGTAAAAGGAGTTATTCTGTACATTATCTATGTATGGCAGGGGCAGAGAGTGATTAAAATTCTGTGGTTACTATGCATGGTTCTCAAGTGCCCACAACTTGCTGTTTATTCATCTTATTCTGACAGGTGGTCTAAATATTTGGCCTGGAATAGGTAAAAAACTTACAGGCTTGTACTTCTGGATTGTCCAGTGTTGGCCTTCATTTTAAAAACTGTGTTTCTGCCCTCCAAGGCTACATGCAGGTCAGACTAAAAAAATATGGATATATTGTATGCAAAGTGCATTCCTGTTATTCTTACTTATTCAGTGGAACTGATAAGACTTGAGCTGTACAGGTACTCGAGATTTACAGCTTGTGTTGTAGAAGTTCTGTCTGTCGAGCTGGCACGATCTACTGATATATTCATTTTACTTCCCTTTGTCTCACTCCAGGAAGTATACTGTTCTTTCCTGTATACTCCTACTCAGGTTTTGCAAGAAAAACTTGTGTAACTTGCAAAACTTTGAGAAACTACGCTAGCTGCTACATGCATGTTATTTCTTCGACACATCAAATGACAAATATCTGTTGTTAGTTCCCAGCTTGAGTTTAACTTTAAGTTATTCTGTTAGTGGTTGTAAAGGGATCTGAATAGGGGATGTGTTCTTACAAGTAGGATACTTGATTCCAAGCTATTGTGACTCTGAAAATCTATAAAACCCTCACAGTGATAACGTCAATGAATACTTATAGTTGCAGCTAAAGTTTGAGCTTTAGCTTCACAGCTTCCCCAGATTAAAATAGGTCGTGTTAAGCTGTCTTTATCGTGGTCTTTTGCACTGGGTCCCTCTCACCGCAACCTGAAATTGTGCTGGTGAGCCTTCTATTTGTGTCACTCCACAGCAGTTGCAATATGACTATGAGATTCAAGTTTTACACCACATTCTTGTAAAATTTCTGTGTTGTTAAACAGCATTATCCTATAATACATGTTGCTGACCAAAATGCATCTCCTCATCTATAGGCCTGCTTAATGACTTAGTTTCTTGTCTTACTAAAATGTAACCTCATGTCTTTTTATTTCATTCAGTGAATAGACATAACCACTTGAAGGACTTCATGCTGGTCGTGTCAATAGTCATAGGCATGGGTGGATGCTGGTTTGCCTACATCCAGAACCGCTACTCTAAGGACCATATGAAGAAGATGATGAAGGACCTAGAGGGCCTGCAGAGAGCTGAGCAGAGTCTGCATGACCTACAAAAGAAGTGAGGGTTTTTCCCAACACCAACACAAGCTCTATTACATTTAATTGTATTTTCTGCACATGGCGTTCATTTTAGATTTAATATGAAACTGTTATTTTTGTCTTCACATGAGAACTTTTGAGCTTTTAATACATTTAAACTCATCATCCACTTGTCTGAGGATAACTCTCATACATTAAACTGTGTGCTATAATAATCAGCTGTAAACGGTTATTTCTGACATTAGTAGCTTATTAGCTTATTGAGCTGTAAACCTCCAACATTTACTGATTCTAAATGGTGGAGGTCACAAGTGAACAGAAGATTTTTATTTTCCACTTGAACATTCTGCTGATATCCAACCTTGAATGACAATCAAAGCAACGGCCTGACTCGTTGTAGCATGTTTGCAGGGTTACTCCCTAGTTCTTTTGCTCTCAACTTTCAATATTTTTCTGGTTTGATTGTTTGGATTTGTATATAGTTTTCCCAGGTTTGCACACAATCCTGGGAAAGGTTTGATTAATGGCATTCATTGTTCTCAAATAGGAACTTGTGTTATGTTATAAAAGACTGGCAGACCTGCTCTAGCGCCGGGCACTTATGTGTTTATACTTAGTTATCATCAGGCCTCAATGTACCCATTCCACGGAGCGTTTTTATGTTCAAATATGATTTAAGCAGGTGACTAATTTAGTGAAGCCAAAGTCTTTGGATCAATGGTGGAAGGTTTGCTTCATGCATTCGTGAAGCTGTCTGATTGCATGAGGGGTTTTTTTCTGCTGTTTTATTTATTTATTTTTCTGGCTTCATACACGAGCATGTCACAGCAAGTCACACATTAACTGGCTGCAGATGCATGTGATCAAGGCATGCTTACTTCTTTATTTAACAAACGAAAACACTGCTTATTACTGGTAGCATTGGCTGCAGTTTTATAGCCTCCATATCTGCGTAGTCGTAAAGGTAATTCTTAATTTAGTCTCCAGCCATCACTTCTGACTATACTCTGACAAATTGTTTAAAAGTACACATTGTAAGTACCAGTGATCAAAATCACACTTTTCTTTTAGAAGAGAAAAATCTTAGGAATTTGTAAAATGGTGGCCAAACCTCAGGGCTAAACCTTTTAGAATTTTAGAACTCTTTAAAAAAAAACAACTTTTGAATCGCACGTTTTATACTTTGCCCTTTCTTATATCTTATAATGCAAAATATTTCATACTCTGAGGAGTTTTTTGGCCATCGGATCATTCCAGCCTGTCTTGTGATTTAAGGTTTGAAATGAGATGAAATTTCAGTGTTTTAAAGTAAAGCTACATGAATTGGTGAATAAAAGAAAGGCTAATCTAACTATTTTAGTCCTGCTAATACCTGAAGGAATGCTCAGAATGTGCTTTGAAGTGCATATCCTATTTTGCCTTTCAAGGAGACTTGAACTCAGTTTTGACGTGATACATGAACCAAAGGTTTTTGAGCTTGAAGGTGCAAAGAGATTCCCATTTTATGGTTTTGCATCTCTAACACAGTTTATCCACTGGGGGAGAGGTCATCTTCAGGTAAATTTAAAAAAGGAATAAGCTCAGGCCACTCGAAAGAGCCACATAACTGCGTAACATTCTTGTCTTTATTCTTGAGAACAAAGGGAGAGGTGAACTCTTGTCGCAAATTTTTCTTTGACTGCCCTTATTACCCACATACGTTAATGTTTGTATGTTAAATGGGGGATAAATGGGCTGTTCAAGAGACAGGCTTTTGAAATATTCATTTTATGCTTTGTCAGTGCTTACTGACTGAACTGAAACTAATGTTTGTGTCTGTCATGGATTCTTGATTTTTTTTTTTTTTACAGTTGCACCTTTATCTCCTGCATCAGCATATTTTTGTAACAGACATGTTCTTTGTTAGTTCCTTTTCCTTTCAGTACACTAGGTGGAGGGAAAAGTGTTTTGTGGGAGTTTCCTGCTGAATTCCAACAAACAGTGCAACTAATGGCTTAAATGGGGACAAATCAGTGAGGTCAAACTCTGTCCTTCTGACGCTGCCAAGTTAGTCTTTGTGTTGACTCTGTGGATTTATACTTTGACTGTTTGTAAAACACCTGCCACTAGCATCTTTGAAGTGGATTTTGACTTTCCTTTTTTTGCTAAGCTAAGTACGCATAGTTAATTCTCCTCTACAGATCACATTGGCAAACCTTAAGTAAATATTAAAGGCCAGCAAGTGCAGACATTATTTAGTATCCCATGCAAGTAAACAGTCTGCACCATGGTTGTGCGTAATACTTATTAGTAGTTTGTCTGTCTGCAGATAGTAGTATAGTGCTTTACAGGAACTGCTCAGATCCCTGAATTATGCTTGTTTGTTCAGCACTGCAGTAAAATTTGCCTGTTACAATTCAGCAGTTTTTTGTTCAGCTGCATTTTAAACTTCAACTCAGTTCATTTTGGCCATAGAGGTCATTTAAATTCTATTTAATTAAAAATATCTGAAATGCAAGTTGAGAGCTTCAGTGGGAACTGCAGCTGCCTCAAATTGGTGTGCTTTGAGCTTTGACCCTCTTGCTTTATGTGTAGTTGGCTCAGAGGATTGTGGGTTAGAGTGGCAGGAAAAGCATGCGGGCTTGTGCAAAAGTGTGACTGCATGCAAAAAGGGCGTCCTATTTTTGGCAATACTGCATGCGACCTTTTCTAGCATAATAAATGCTATGACAGAAAAGGCTAGACCACGGGATCAAATACTTTTGTTGAGTCAAGTCATTTCAAAACCAATAGTATGAGGTCATGAGGATTATAGGGCTGCATTACTGTACAAGCATGGGTATTGTGTGCATTTCTGAGGCAATATGAATGCCAAAGGATATGCAGGTTCTGGTATAATAGGCTATCAGACAGGCAGCAGGTTTTTCAGGCATGCTTGTTTCAATAAGACCGCCACACAAAAATCAGCAGCTTGAGAGGTTTGTGCTCTGTCTTTAGTTGTGTGTTTCCTACTGATCCCTGCAGCCAGCTGCTCTCTTTCCATACCTTTAAGCAGATCCTGCGATGCTGTCAAGTAGCCTGGTCCAAACATGGCTTCACTGTTGGGAGACAGTGTAAGGAGGTTGTGACGAGAGCTGGATTTCCTGGGTGACTTTTACAACACTCTTTGACCTGGCCTCCCCCTTCACTGGTGGGCGAGTGTTTTAAGCATGACTGTTAAACATGTCAGCTCTGATGCAATTCACCCACATTTGAATTTGGGTGTGGTGTGCAGATGAAAGGCCTGAAAAAGGACTGGCGACAGGGACAGCTTGTATTGCATGTGAAAAAAACTTAAAGGTTGGGCATATAAGGCTACGTATGTCTTATAATATCAGTGTGTATTCAGTAACATTACCTGCAAAGTCTGCAGAGACATTGTGTCTGCATTCTTTAAGCTCTGTAATTCAGGTCATTTCATTCAGGAACAGAATTTGGCATCTACTCTGTGGACACTGTTACTCAGCCAGTGCTTTCAAATTTTAGCTAGAGAATGGCAGAGGTCAGGGTCGAAAGCATTAGCAGGACTGCCCACCAGCAACATTTTCCATAGCTCATGGTCTGGATCAAGTTTCAATTCTCTGCGCTTGTGTACTACTTCTGCTGTTGTGTTCAGCCTCAGTGGGGGAAAGTGCTGCTCCCTGGTGACTGAAATGTGTTTGTACGTTCTGCCCTTGTGCCACATGTTTAACAAAACAACAAAACAGAAATTTGAAAACAACAGCATTTATTTTGTTGTATTACAGTATATGTAGTACTGTAGTTCTGGGACTTGTTATATTCATCAGGCTATCAAGGCCAGTGACATTTTTCAATTGAAAAATATTACAAAGTCCTGCATAAATGTAACCACATCACGGGTTTAGTTGGACCTGAATGGTTACAGATGAGAGTATATCGGAATGGTGTGTGTCTCAGTGAAAACAATCGTGTTATTGGTGACAAGCCCGCTTTCAAAGGCTTTTTTTTTTTCCTTTTTTTTGTTTTTGTTTTAAAGGCTAGTCTAATTATATCCACCACTTGCATGTTCAGAACTCTACAGGAGCACTGGGTGCCACACTGTACTGTTCTAAACTTAAATCCTGACAGCTGTTCTCTTCTTGGCTCTGCTTCCTCTGATGTCAGATTATTGTGAGCTGCCTAGCAGCTGACCACAGTCCTTTGCTCTTCTACATGTTAGCTGTTTCTGGTGATGCATGGCTGATGCAATGCCTACGATGGCATGCAACCTAGGCACCCCTAGTAAACATTTCTGTTGATTTCAGCACAAGATAAACTTTCTAAAAGAAATAATGTCAGAGAGAAAACTATCTCTTTAATGTGTTTTGCAATTGTTGAGTAAAAAAGAACAAGAAACACAAAAGATTTAAAATTTGATTCCAGGTACCTTTTACCAAAAGTCAAAGCTTTATAAATCCTCTGCCTCTCTAATACTTGTCATAACAACTAGCACTCAAGGGCTCCTTTAAGCCGGTGCAGCACTGAGCACTGCCCAGAAGGCAGGAAAAGCCTTTTTTGAAGACGCCAAAGCATTTAACCTAATTAAGAAATGGTATTTAGCAGGATCGGTGGTGGTCAAGTTAAGGTCTGGAACACTGAAAAAAACTGATGCTACTAGGATAGCTGGAAAGGTAAATCAAAATTTCTCTTTGACTAAAAAAAATCCTTGGCAGACTGATGGTGCATTTTTTTCCACTGTGCAGTCTTCAAAATCCTGCTTGCTTAGCACAAAATTCAGCATTAAAGCCATGCATATGAACCTCTAAACAAGCCTGATACAGTCTAGAAATTAATCCTGAGGTTGGAGGATAAGATTAAAATAGAACTTATTTGCTGTGATGAGCAAAGGTATGTTTGGAGATGAAAGGGTGCTACAGTTACACAAAAAGAACTTTCCAACTGTTAGTACAAGGGTTGATTGATCATGCTTTGAGCTTGTGCTCCAGCCAGTGGTACATGGAACATTTTCGCTGATAGAGGGAGGAATGTACTAAATAGCTGAATAATATAAAGGCAGTTTATTCTGGGAGCAGTCTGTTGCTAAAAGCTGAAGATGACAAGAGTCTGGATTATACAACCGGATAATGATCCTAAATATACCCTAAAAATGCACCATGGACTACCTCAAGAGGATCGACCTGAATGTTTTGCCTTGGCCCTCTCAATCCACTGATTTAAATATAATCCAAAATTTTTGATTAGACAACAAACGAGCAGTGACTGCTAGACAGCCAACAATCTGCAACAGAAATTTTGACCAGGGTTGCTCAAACCTAAGCACATCTCCATAGTTCATAGAAAATAACAATAGCTCCAACACGGCTTCAGTTGCTTGGGCTTAGTAAGCAGCCACTGACTAAAAATTGAGCATGACCTTTGGTCCTTTTTTCCTTAGGTTGCAGATTGCCCAGGAGGAGCATCGAACAGTTGAAGTAGAGAAGGTAAATCTCGAGCAGAAGCTGAGGGATGAGATAAACGCTGCTAAGCAGGAGGCCCAACGATTGAGAGAGCTGCGTGAAGGCACAGAGAATGAGCTGAGTCGCCAAAAGTATGCAGAAGAAGAGCTCGAACAGGTAATGGTTGCAGTCTGATCAGTTACATTTAAACGCAATCTGTAGTCCACAAAGTAGAAGCAGTGAATTTGAGTAAATAGAGAAGAAGACTTCCAAGGTGGCATCGGCACAGTATGTTTAGGTCTTTCAGATTCACACTAGCTATAGTGTAAATACACCCACTCAAGTCTTTGTCCTTTGGAATTTGGCAGAAGCAGCACAGTTCAGCCCACGTACATAAGTTGAAACTGTTTTCTTGTAGATTATTCACAGTCACAATTCTATCTTTTGCAAATTTGACTTCCTGCTAATTTGGATAACAGGGCTTCTACATTCCATATATTGCTGTTTCATAAATACAAGCCCAACTTTACTAGATTTGAAACCCCTGCTCTATACCATTGTACCCATTTAAAGAATAGTGCAGGTAATCTGGATTATTAGTAATTAACATGTAAATGTCCAAACCTCATATTTCAGACTCTCCTATTTGTCAGTTGAAAGGAACTATTGAAATTTCGACTTATTTACATAAATTGTCCAAAATTCATTGTTTGAAAATGGGGCATTACTGTTATAGACACCTTTATTCATGTTGAGTTACATCTGAGCATTTCAGTTTGCTATTTTTATTTGTGATATTGGAAAAGCTAAAAATTGTCAATTTTTTTGGTCCATTTCCTTATTTCTCATCTTAGTATGCTAATAGTAAAACTTTTGCATGTCTGCATGCATTGAAGAAGCAAGAAATTTGGATTCACGTATACTGGTCGCCACCAGAGTCTCTACAGAAATGGCTGCAGCTCACCCATATTGGTGAATGCATGTACTACAACATCATAACAAAATCAACCAACTCCTTGCCAAATAGATTAGGGCATTAAAAATATAATTTACATTTCCTTGTGTATGTTAAACAAATAGAATATCATAAAAATAGAGCTTTATCTAATAATTTAATATCCAAAAATGGTAAACTTCCACAAATTCTGTATTCATTACCCATGAAGCTTTTCCTGTTCTTAAATATTTGGTCAGTTGTTGTAACCTGGGCACCACTTTCCACTTCCTCCTGCTTACCTTGATAAGTCCTTGGTCACTTGCTTTCGCAGGCAGAGAAGATAAAGAAAAAGAGGAACACTCTCTTCGGGACTTTCCATGTGGCTCACAGCTCCTCCCTGGATGATGTGGACCACAAAATATTAGCAGCCAAGTAAGTTAGAGACTCTTAATTGTGCGTTGATATGTTGTTAAAAAATAAAAGCTGAGGAAAGATGATTTCATACATACATTTTATACATTCTCCTCTTTGCAAACTTTTCTTTTAAATACTTTCTTCTGATCTTTTGCAGACAAGCCCTTGGCGAGGTGACCGCTGCTCTGCGAGAGAGGCTGCATCGCTGGCAGCAGATAGAGATCCTAACGGGTTTTACCATTGTCAACAATCCAGGCCTCCCATCACTGGCCTCGGCCCTCAACCTCGACCCCACTTTCATGGGCGGCAGAGCTACACCTCAGCACTTCATCATGTCTGACGACATGGACGACATGGACGAGGATATCGTACCCGGAACTCTGCCATGTAAAAGTTCCTCCGAAACGCTCAGCCTTTCAGTGGGGATTAGCAAAAAAATCCCTAAACCTTCCTCCAAGGCTCTGCTTGGGAAATCCAAAAATCAGCTCACATGACAATTTGGACCTAATGCTACATGTATTATTGTTGCCTCCATGGTGCTGACGGTAGTGGGGGTTAGACATGTCGAAAATGAGTATTGAATGTTGTTTTACACTTCACACTATGTAAATTCAGATAATTGTCTTGTTGTTTTACACACGGTACCACTTGCCTTTTTGTTAACTGTTATTTTGGATACATTTGTTTATTTCATTCAGTAAATTATTGAAACTGAAGATTGCCATGATTTTCCTCTTGAAACTGAAACCCAAAGAAAAATATACTTCTTAAAGAGAACAATTTTTTGTGTTGGCCGATTTGTAGTGCTTGTGTCATGTTACGTGTTATAGATATGTTGGATCAGCTTTTTTTTTTTTCGAAGGATGCCAAAAAAGGAAATACTTCAGATGTAGTCACTGCCAGAATTATATTCCTATTTAGGACCAAGATAGGAACACCAAAAAACACAACTCAGATTCTTACACACCTTACAGTTCTTGTAGAATTCATACATCTTTATACATATGTCGGTTTCAAACCATATTTGACTTTATATGTTAGGTTATGGGTTTAGGTAACTGGAGCTCCAATTTGCTGCACAAGTGAACAAGTGTTTAATCAACATTAATTACACTGCCTGTCTCACTCCCCTCTCTCCCTCCACCACTTCTCTGGTATTTGGCTCCCACTGCTGTCTCATTGGTCCAACTACAGATGGCAATCGACTGTTGGAACGGCGAGCTAGTGACCTGTGGTCCATTGGTTCAGACTGTCAGCCCGTGTGGAAATATCCTGGTTGGCCATTTATTCATGCCCCACTTCAGTCCTCAGTCTGACCTTCCCATCTCCGCTTTTGCCTAAAAAGAGTTTTCATACATTTTAACTGGCAGTATGCTCCAGATGGACCCAGCTGTAATAAAAAAAAAAAATAAAAAAAAAAACTTCTCCATGCTGCCTTCATTTAAAAACACCCCTGACCTGACCTTAGTTGCTTGCTTGGTATTGAAATCCTCCTCCTAAATGTTGCCCCTCCTCCAGACAAACCCCTTTTTTCTACTCCACTATTGTTTTGTATTTGTTTTTCTTTTTTAAAGAAACAATTTTTTCCTATTTAAACTTATTATATTCTTATAATTTGTCTTTATTAGATGGAAAGATTAAACAAGTGTTGGGATTTTACTGATATGCATCACTATTGTGGAGTAAAGAGGCTAAAATTTGTGTATTTTTATATTTAATAATGTGTAACATTTCCAAAGACTAAAGCATCTTTTCAGTAATTTTCTCATTGTTCTCACTTTTTCCATCAGCCATTCATTTTATGTTAATGTTACTACCGCTGTTATTTTGTGCCAACAGCTCCCAGTATGATGTCTCTGCGCCAACGCCACATTGATCCCCAGCTGGCCCTGGGCTCCCAGAGGTTGGTAGAGAGTTGCCTGTTGGCAGGGCAGCAGGGCGAGGGAACCCCCTACCATTCGAGGCCTAGGGCTACCTTCAGACATTCACGCAGCCACTCGTTTGGGCAGCTCGATTGTCTCCCTCTGCCTCCCCTCTCCTCGGCCGTTTCTCACCCATCCATAATCTTTACTTCCAGCCAAATTCCTCAGTCGTCATCATCCTTATCCTCATCTTCCTCCTGCTTACCCAGCTTTGTGGGTGGCAGTGCAACCCCTCATTCCCATGCATACCATGCTTCTTTCCAGCCCATGGATCCTATTCCTGATTTGTCATTCTCAGATGTCTCCAAAGTGCACTCCTCGTGCAGCGACAGTTTCGGGTACCCATCTGTCTCTGTTCTCCACACACTTTGCATGTGCGTGGGTGTTTTTACACCACCTGTCATGGTTTTACCTTGATAACACATGTAGAGTAGATACACTTCCCTTAGTATATTCATTTTGTTATGTTTCCATTTTATTTTGTAATTTTTTTTCTTTTATAAAATTTCTCATCCTTCGCTGTTTTTAAGCCATTACAGAAACTTTGCATTTACTCTCTTTCAACCTCTCAGTGTTCCTCGTGTTCTTTGCCTGCTCAACTAACAAGTGTGGAGCCCCACTATCCAGCCTGTGCCCTGCGTGTCCGTGACTTTCAAGGCATAGTGTAGATAAACTCAAGCATGCAAAGCTGCTTTTAAACATTCCTTGGATCTGATTTTTCCCTCTCTAACCTGTGAATTTTCCTTCCTGCAGGGATCTAAATCGCTCCGACTCAGACTCCTCTTTGTCCCTTTCACAAGTTGGTGATCGGCTGTCTGCCTACAGCTCCAAAGGCCACCTAATCAAGCCCACTTCTCTCATGCACGGCCTGTCCAACCGGGCAGATGATGCCGTCTCACTGCATGCTCACACCCCCAATGGAGGGACTCGTGTTCATGAGGGAGGTCCCGACAGCCCCATACTCATGAAGAAGGTCTACAGCCTGGGAGAGATCAACAGTCTGTCTGAGTCATCTCGCTCACTCAGCCCAAACTCCACTGAACCTGACACACCATCACCAACAGGAGGGCAGGTAGGAGTGGTGGGAGCTAAAGCCAACAGCCGCATCCCACAGCTGTCCTCCAAGAAGAGCCCTCTAGAGGAAGATAGTGGTTCAACAGGAGAAGATACAGATTCAGCTGCCAGCCGTAAGAAACATACCTTCAAGATCTTCAAAAAACAGAGGAAATAAAAGCTAAATGAACTATGGGCTACCAAAGCTGTCTGACTGTATTCCTCTGTCTAACCTGTTTTTGTTATGTTTTTTTAGTTTCTAGTTTTGGGGGTTCATTAATGGTCACATGATGGCAAGATTTTTTGTCATTGAATCTTTTTGTAGGTTACAACACCTACTTTGAGAGACTGTGGACTGTTTTACCCAGCTTTATCTGCTTACACTTGGTCAATGTTGAGTATGTGGGGAATGGGCAGGTTTGTATATTGGAATGTAAAGTATTATTTATTCTGCAGGAACTTGTGCCAGTGTCAAAGGGAAATATGTCTCCCACTTGTTGTTTCCTTTTTTTCCTTCTTGTTCTACAATCTATAACATTTTGCATGTCTTCACTTTTGTTTGACAGATACTCGAATGCTCTTAGTGTTTGCTTGGTTCTTGTTGTTAACCTGCTTAGACAACACTTGTTTCTTTTATTACTATCAAAACACCTACAAGTCCAAAGTGAATGCGCACTCCTGACTATTTTCTTTTTATTGATGGGTACACTTTGTCTGTTTTCTTTTTGTTGATGTCTTGTTTGCAGAGAAAATGACACATTCAGGGGATCTTCAAATACAAGAGGTGTATTAGAATGCTCCTGTATATTACCTTTGGCTGTAAAAACAAATGTTGCGTGTTGCTATTTGAACTCAGTATATTACGATGCCTTCTTAGGGCCATTCTAGGGAATAATAATAATAATAAAAAAATAATAAAAAAGGATCAGGGAGGGGGTGATACTCTGAAAAAGAAAAAATCCTAACTTTTATGAGGACTTAGGTGGAAAATTTATTTTTAAAATGAATGCAAAAAAACCCAAAAACTATAGTCTCACATTGAAGTCACAAATATAGAAAAATAAAAATGTTCCTCTTTTTGTAAAGCAATCTCATCACACTAGATGGTGCTTTGCCTCTATTATTCCTACTGACATTATTCAGATGCAGTCAGCAACTATCTGGGAGCCCATAATATCACATTAAGTATAGCTGTTTATTGGGTTATTCAGAAGAAATATACTGATTTGCATGAGATGCTTTTGTGTAACAGTTATTCTTGCATCACGCCTCAACTTGGCCATTTTCTGTTTAGCAATAGAAACCACATTTTTAAAAAGATAAAAGATAATTATTAAGGGTTTTAATGTTTTTCTCAGAATATTAATCAGTTATCTTTTTTCCACATAGAACAGCCCTAATAAGCTGTCCTAGTGTATCAGCATTAACTGCTGGGTCTAAATGTATTTATATTGCACCCTAGAGGTAAATTCTTGCAAAGTATCTAAAGGACCAGCATCAGACCTTTTGCGGTTTTGAGTTTTAGTGCATTTGAAAAATGGGAGAGTGAAGAATGTCTCTTCTATCTCTTTGCTGAAATATCCAGCTTATCTTAACACTTAGTCCCAGAGAGCAGGACTATCACTGATTAAACTGGGGGTTTACACACACCCTCACTGAACCATACGGTTATCAGGTGTTTGAAGACTAAAAATAGGGTGTATATAGAAACAAAAAATTTTATTAGGCAATAAATTACCAAAATGTTTGAAGTGGCAGCCATGAAATGCAATGGTATCTTTAGGTATTTAATTTTAAAGTTAGGATACACATTGTGAAAAGAAAATGCTAGAGATGCTTGCTTTCTACACCTGTATATCATAAGAAAATGTACACCTTTGGGTTTGTTTTGTAAGAATAGCCCCTTGAAGGTTAACCAGGATCCCACAATTTTCACGTAATGTGGATTGGGCTATGCTGTCCTGTCTTTTAGTTTTATTATTTTGTTTGTCTTTTTAGTGGACATTAAAAGATCCACAGCAGTTTTTCAGTGAGGATTGGTTGTTGGTAAGGGCTATAATTAAGGAAAGTATTTTGCTCTGTACAAGACTGAAAATTTAAAGTTGTAACCACTTCTGGTTAACGTTTTATGGAGGCAGGAAGTCAATCATGTAAAAGTGCCAAATTGTGATTTCTGTCAGAGGCCTTTGTATTTGTAGTGTGTTCTAAACCTTGAGCCCCTTTTGCACAGAAGACAAAAGTGCATGATGTATACAGTAATGTATATTCAAAGATGAAATGCTGAATGTCCGAGGGTATATCCTGTAACAGTATGATCAGTACCGTATGTTTACATTTGTAACAAATAATTATTCTCAGATAAGTACAACAAAAAAAAAAATACCTTGTGCCAGTTTTAATGTTGATTGCTTCATTTGAGCACAAAACTATGCATCTAGTTGTAGGTAATTACTAAAGTAGTAGGGACGCCAGTACACTTAGGGTGCTCCTGATCAACGAACAACCAAAAAGTGCTGCAGAAGACACAAGAAGTCTGCCCCAGCCTCATAATGTAACAGGTGGTTTGGATTTATAAGACACGTTTAAATATTTTATTTAAAAAAATAAGACGAGCTTAAAAAAAATAACAATTTCCTACTGGTACTTTTTTTAAAGTGTCATTTGTACCTTTTTTGCACGACAGAGCTGTAAATTGATTATGCCATCTGAATGTGTGAGTGTGTCTGTCTGCTCCCGGTATAATGCACTGTAACGTTGATGCATGTCAACTGTCATAACGAAACCTATATTGGGTTAAAAGAGTGGATCAGCTTAAGCTCTTAAGTCCTTCACCCTACTTTTCTCGTCTTTATTTTGAGCTTCTATTTATGAAAACCTACAGTATATTTGTACAGGGAAAAAAATAATTTTGCATCTAATGTTGTGGTCTAAACTTTGATGGCACTCCTGCATGAAAGCAATAAACTATTTTGAATGAAAGGTGAGCTTTTTCTTCTAATACACAGCACTTTGATTTCCTGCTGTAGCTTCTTTTTGAATTTTTAGATTTGACTCTAAAGTTCGCACCAGCACAAAGAATTCAAATGTAGGTTGTGAAATGTAGATTCAGGAAACGGTGAAAGATACTGGGTTACCTTTTGTTATAATTATCAGCAGTGAAATGCAACCAAATCCAGAGAGCTCCACGGAGGTGTATATAGTAAGTGGGTGGAGCTTTGTGCTGTCAAATATTTACCTAGGAGAGTAGCTGAGTTAGAGCAGGATAAGATCCGGGTCTTGATGCTTCTGTTTCACTGCAGCAAGATTATTGCTTGGGCAATGGATTTTCATACACTGTACAAATATATCTATCAGCTTTGCCTCACGATGCAGGTAGGAGAAGGTTTGCCTTCATCAATAATTCACTAATACACTGGTTCCTTCTAGTGTAGTCTTCTCAGGAAAATGTATGCTTGTCTTCTGTCACATACAGGTTGTTTGGGGTTTAGATGAGGTGAAAATCCTGAATCCTCCAGAGGAGGCTTTGCCAGACCATCTTTTGCAAGTACTCTACTCTTGTGATGAACCTGCTACAGTACAGCTGGACTGTGTTGTATCCTTTGAAACTGGCACCATAAGCACATTTCTGCTAAGACAGTGGAATTGTGTCCCAGGTGTCAATAAAATAAGGACTGTGAAGCTGAATCTGCCAGACTGGTTGGTGTATCAACCTGATGGGATTGTTCCGGACTCTCAGTGGGTGCTGAGTTGTATCCTTCGAGCCTCAGTCAGACACACTGGATATGATGATACTGAGAAGTCTGTCAGAGCTCAACATGTGGCAAATTTGAAACCTAAGCCCTACTTAAGTCGACGTGTCAAACAACATCAGCTCTGTATTGCCTGGGGCACACAAATGCTCCAGCTAACTAAACAGTTTATCCAGAAACAGTGTGCCTTGGAACAAGGTGAGGTTGGAGAAGTACGAGTAAAAGTTAACTCTATATGAAGTTAAAGTGAAGCTATGAAAAAAAAAAAATTCTCTATTTGACAGCAATATTCTGTGAATCTTAAAGATTTCAGAGAAAGATGATAAAACTCACACAGTCCTCGTTTTTTAAACTTTGCAATAACGAGGCTTCCAAATTTCATTTAGAAACGCTTCATTTGCTGTCTTCAATCTATGCTTCAACTGGAGAAAGCTTTGGTATCACAAAGACACTGAATCCCCACAGGAATGAGGTTCTGGAGTATTTACGTGTTAAAGCCATCTCTTTCCCATGGTATGATAGACTGTTTACAGTATATCTGCTAGTTTTCCATTCTGTCATTGAAGTTACCATTTAAGGTCATTTAAACAAGTCTTTTTTTATGGGGGGGTTTCTAGGTGTACACTTTCCATCTGGATATTTGTAACCAGACACTGCCAGGAAGCCTTGTGTGGCGTGTTTCATCATATAAATTCCCAAAATAGTTATATCACACCAGTAATACTCCTCACAAAGTCAGGTATAGTTAATTTTTCTTACATATTCTATTTATCGCATTATCTTGACTTCCATAAGGCTCATCTTCATTCACATTAAACACAGGTCACCTACACATCCAGATGAATGGAGAGTCTCAGGAATCCTCTGCATTTCTCTCTTCATTCAAGGTCCCTTTAAATGTGTGGTGCAATCTTATTGTGATGGTGCAAGGTAGAACAGTAAGTAGTCTTTTGTTGACACAGCATACCGTTTATCATGCACATCATCATCATAATGAAAAAAACATGCTCATTGTCATTGCATCTCAGGTGGCTGTCAATATGGTATGCTTGGATAACAACCAGAGAACAGTTAAAACTTCTGAATATATGTAAGTCTATTTCTAATGTGACATCATGATTCAGTTATTACCCAGAGGAAGAAAATGCATTTGAGGTGTACTATAACACTATGTGCTCTTCTGCTGTATAACATGCTTTACAGGTTTAGATTTATTATCATGTTTGATGACACAGAGGGATATTTTGTGATTGGAGGAGGGAAGTATATACCAGGAGTGAAAGGCTATTTTGGACCAGTGATATACCACCGGAACCGAATAGTGTCTGACATTATGGTACTTCTAGTAATACTGTACTTACTTAATACTTGTAGCTACATCCAACTCAACTGTTCACTGTGTTCAAGTCTGATTATATCTTTCTTTTTCAGTCTGAGTTTTATGTTCCAGATGTTATACAGAATTTAAATCTCACCAGGTGGCTGCAGACTTGTGAAGAATTTAGCTTTGACATGAATGTCAAGATCAGTGGCCATTCAATCAAGATCCAGCAGAGGACAGAAGCCGGTAATACCAGCAGTAGGGTTTACTTACACTAGATGGTGCAAAAAATAACTTTTCAAATAATGACACTGTGAGTAATGTGTTTGTGCTGCTTTTCTTCAGAAACTTGCTCTCATGCTTTCCATAAGTGGGTGGTAAAACACAGACAAAAATCAAATCCACAGTGTGCATCGTGGGAAGCAGCTGCTCCTCGCAGAAGACATGCCGCTAAACTGGCCAAATTATTAGTTTTAAAACATGGTGAGAGATGAAGTATAATATTTTCAATTGCCAGGGCATTTTAAAATATAATGCGGTCTGAATTAATGATGCTTTTCTGCAGTTGTAATAGCTGCTGTTTTGGATTCTGCATGTCATTAAACACATTAAAGTTCAATTTGTTCCTTGCAGAAGGAAGAGCAGTTAGCCTGCATGATTTGGGCAGAGCACTATACTCCTTATCACTCCATAAGCTGGGCAAAGCGAGAAGCACGGAAGTGGTCAGCAAAGTATTATCACTGCTTCTCCAAGCTGGCTGTCTAGCTGATACCCGAGCTCTGCACATGTCATCTGTGCTCTACAGTACTGGCCTAGGAGTCCAGAAAGAGCCTT